AATTATAATTAATTCAAATTAATTCGAATTTCAGCGAATTGTTCGGTTCTGGAAGCAGCATGGCTCCGAATTCGGAAGAGTCGGCTCGGATCGGACAGTTTCCCTTCGGCGAAGAGGCCATCAATAAGGTAAAACACGCAATTAACTTTCGAACAACTTGTAATTAATCTAATTTAAATAATTATATTTTTAATTTATGCGGAATTAATGGGATTTGGCAGCGACAAGCCACACCTCTTGACAAGATTTTTTTTTGAGTTTTAACGCAAAATTTGAGATTGTAAAATATTTCCACCGCTCTTAAATCATGTAATAAACATACAATAAACCTCAACGATGCTTCAAACAATACAAACATAACGTTTTTTTCCTCTCGACGTTTTAATGGCGTTATGAATTATTTATAATGTTTGTATTATTGTTAGTTTTGCAATTAATTCGTGTGTGTCTATTATTATTACCATCAATTAAGGAGCAATTTTTGTATCATTGTTTAAATAAGACAAGGAAGTGTTTCTCAAGCCGCACTCTAATTGAAGTTTAATTTGACAGGGAAATATTTTTTTCTTTCTTATTCTTTGGTATTACATCATTGTTGTGACATTTGATTGATTTATTTCTCAATAAAGTGGTGAAAAAATCAATTCTTGGTGTATTAATAGGAGAAACAACGTCCACCTATCTACAATCCTGAAGATTACGTCCTGTCTTTGAAAAAATGGGGCCGAAAACCAACCAATGGCAACTCAGTTTCTTTATACCCAACTCCCAGCAGTTCGGATTCGGATTGCAGCAGATCTCAGAGCAGCTCGTTTCGAGATTACAGAAATCCGATGCTCATATCATCTGGGTCCGAGATGACCTTGAGGCAATTTGGGACTGTGGGAGAGCTTTTGGCTAAGCTCAAGTCGGATTTAAGGCTGGCATATCCAAGGTAAGAGTGTAAAAAAGACTAAAGATCATTTTTTTCGTCTTGGCTAAATTAAAGACAATTTATTTTTAAGTTACCTTAATAGAAAATTATCTATGGAAAGATCGCTTTGTGTTTCAAGCTTTTACGAGGTCAAATAAGAAAACAGTTTACTTTAAAAAAAATCGAAAAAATATCTTTTTATTTTCTAAAAGCAAACGCAAGAAGTTTATGTTAATTGACTTTTTGATGCAGAATCCTCTGAGGAATTGTTTACCGTTTGTTTCAAGTTTTTGCAAGCATTAATAACTGGGCAAATCACTTTTAGGTTGAATAGTAGTAGTAGTCGTGATTCATTTTAATTTTATAGCTCTGTTAGTTAAAAAAAAAAATAGATGAAAATAACTGATTCTGATAGAAAAAAATCTGCTGAATCGATTGGTGTGGGTTTTATTTTGCTACGATTTATAGTAAGTGAGGAATTCACTGTTAAATATCTTCAGTTTTTAAGTGTTAATAAAGTGACTTGTTTAAAACTTCTTTATCAGAAAAGATTTTTCTGATTACCAATGTTCCTTACAGAAAATTGTCTCGAGAAGCTACAGCTTTTTGTCTCAAGCTTTTACGAGTAAAATTATCGGAGCAAATCACTTAAGAAAATTCTTTTTTCGAACAAAATTTAACTTTTTCAGTTTTTTATTTTAAAAAATTGAACTCAGAATAAACTTTTCTAGTAAATTAACATTCTTTGAGACAGTTTAAATATTTGATTGCTGTTTGTTTTATATTTCTATGAGCTCTAATAAATATGTAAATCACTTTTAAAGTTTATCAAATAAAATGTGGTGTTTCGAGATCATTTTAATTTTATAATCATATATTGGGAAAAAATAGAAAGCAATAATTGATTCTGATAGAAAAATGTCTGCAAAATCGATTGGTGTAGGTTTTATTTTGCTACAATTTATAGAAAGTGAGAAATTCACTGTTAAATATCTTCAGTTTTTTATTAACACTCAAAAATTAAGATTTATTTATTTATTTTTTCTGGCTAAACTAAGGAAAAGATTTTTTTTATTACTAATGTTTTTTACCGAAATTGTCTACAGAAGCTACAACTTTTTATTTCGAGCTTCTGCGAGTAAAATTACCGGAGAAAAGCACTTAAAAAATTCTTTTTTCGAATAAAATTTACTTTTAATTTTTTTTATTTTCAAAAATTAAACACAGAAAATTTTTTTGTAACATTTAAAATTTTTCGATACAGTTTAAATATTTGATTGCTGTTTGTTTTAAATTTCTTTGGACTCTAATAAATGAGCAAATCACTTTTAAAGTTTATCAAATAAAATGTGGAATTTCGAGATTGATTTTAATTTTATAGTCATATTGAAAAAAATATATAGTAAATAATAACTGATTCTGATAGAAAAAAGTCTGCTAAATCGAGTATAAAAAAATTCTTTTTTCGAACAAAACTTAACTTTTTAATTTTTTAATTTTCAAAAATGAAACTCAAAAAAACTTTTGTAGTAATTAAAATTTTTTGATACAGAATTGTGTAAAGATTTAATTACTGTTTGTTTTGAGTTTCTATGACCTCTAATTAACTGAGCAAATTACTTTCGAAATTTATTTAATAAAATGTGATATTTTGTGATTTATTTTAATTTTATGTTTATACTGAAAAAAATTAATAATAACTAATTCTGATAGAAAAATGTCTGCTAAATCGATTAATATAGGTTCTATTTTGTTACGATTTGTAGTATGTGAGTAAATTACTATTAAATGTCTTTATACTATTATTGTTGCTAAAGTGATTTTTTTTTAATTCTTTTATTTTTTCTGACCAAACTAAAAAAAAATTTGTCTGATTATCAATGTTCCTTACAGAAGTAATCGCTTATTGTGTCAAGTTTCTACGAGTAAAGTTAACGGAGCAAATCACTTTTGAATCTTTATTTGACAAAATTTAACTTTTTTATTTTCTAAAATCAAACGCATAAAAAATAATTAACAATATTTAATACACAATTGTCTAAAGATTTGATTGCTGTTTGTTTCAAGTTTCTATCAGCTCTAATAACTGAGCAAATCAGTTTTCAAATTTATTAAACAAAATCTGTTATTTGGTGATTCATTTTAATTTTATAGTAATATTGAAAACAAATTTTGAAAAGCAATACCTGATTCTAATAGAAAAATTTCTGCTGTATCGATTGATGGAGGTCTCATTTTACTGCGATTTATAGTAAGTGAGCAAATCACTGTTAAATGTCTTATATTTTTATTGTTAAAAAAGTGACTTGTAATGATTCTTTTATTTTTTTGTCTAAACTAGAAAAAAAATCTTTTAGAGTTTTTTCAGTTAAAAGATTGACCATAGAAGCAATAACTTTTTATTTCGAACTTCTGCGAAGACAAATAATAGACCAATTTGCTTCAAATCTTTATTCGAACAATAATTAATAATTTTACAAGATTTTTTATTTTCTGCAACCAATCTCAGAAGAAATCCTTTGTGGTAATCACTTAAAGAATTGATTGCTTTGGTTCAAGTTTTTGAAACCACTAATGTCTACGCAAATCACTTTTAAGATTATGTTGAATGAAATGTGGTATTTCGTGATTTATTTAGATTTTATAGTCATGATTTAGAAAATTTTTAGTTCGATTTTATTTTTCCTCAATTTTTTCCATCACGTCGCCATCTGTTTGAACCTTCACTTTGAAAAATTCTGACATTTCTCTCCCGTCTCCCTTTTCTTCCCTCCTCTTCCCGAAAATGGACTGCAAACCATGCGGCAAAGACACCACGTCTCCCCGGCAGCCGCGCTCCAACACCACGTGCCCCCCCTGCCCCTGCTGCATCCCAGTATTGGCCGAAGCCATTCCCAAAGTCCAAGTCACTCCCTGTCCCCCGCCTCCCGCCCAACCCCCAGCCGACTGCTGCCATGTGTGCGTTCCGGTGTGCACCCCCGCGCCCCCCTGTGAGCCCTGCCGACCCAAACGCAAATGCAAGTACATCCAACCCGCACGGCCCAAATCCTACGCCCCCGAACGCAAATACTTGCCTCCCGCCGCCCCCATGGACGATGGTACCATCTACAGGAAGTCGTACTTGCCGGCGGAGGGCGAGCGTCCGCCCCAAATCCGCCCCGAGAACAATCTCTGCGTCGGGGAGGGGAAAATGTCGGATAATACGGTACACAACATGTCGTACCTCCCCCATAAGGTACTACCCCCATGTCCCATCTACCCCTGCGAGCATAAGTTGCTTGGGGAGGGACCTATGCAGGATATAACCACGCAGAAACACGATTATGTCCCTAAACCGTTCTCAAGACCTGATAAAATAGTACCCCCTGTTAATCTCTTCTCTAGTGATTGCCCCCTTAGTGACAAAACTGTCAATAGACTGTCATATATGCCGGTTGAGAAGCCTTGCAAAGTGGATCCGATTTATCCAGTCAACGCGATTGAGAAACCATCGGGGAGAATCAGTGATAAAACCATACATAATATGTCGTACCAACCGTGGGAACCCACGGAACCCATTGAGACACCATGGGCTGACAAACCCAAGTACCAACCGCCCAAATTGCGAATGGAGGATAATACCGTACACAAAATGAGTTATATGCCTCCGGGACAGTACGTGGAGTGCGACGATGATGATCCAGATTGCGTTGAGTGTCCAGAGCCGCCTTGTGATCCACATTGTAATCCGAATTATAGATGTGCGATGCCGTGTTGTTGTCCCAAAGCGGCTTGTTAGAGTCCGAAACTGTCCGAAATTTCCGTGATTGGTCCATTGATAGTCTTTTATTTATATTCTTATTGATATATACACGAAACGAGTTGTATACAGTATTTTTAAGTACAGTGTTTAGCGAGTACTTTGAAAATTAAAGTTGATAATTTTCAGACCCTTGTTTTATTTATTTACCTCCAGTTACTTGAAAAACTAAAATGTGATTTTTTTTGCATTATTTTCTACAAGAATCAACCATCATTTTCAAAATTTGACAACAATTTAATTGTGAATCCTCAAAATTTTAAAAGTGATTTTCTTGGCTGTTAGTAGTCGTAGAAACATGAAACAAAAAGCAATCAATTTATCTAATAAATGTACGTAAGAAAAGCTTGTTTTCTTAAAGATTTTGAGCAAAATTTAGAGGTAAATAATAAAATAATTTTCAAAATGTCACTAAAAAATATATTTTAAGTGATTTGCTCGGTTTTTAATAATCGCGAAAATCTAGGACCAAGATCGTAAGATTCATTAATGTTTTTTCCAAGATCATAACTGGCATAGCAAAAAAATTAAAAAGAATCATCAAAAATTTTAAATTTCAACTTTTAGTTGAAATTTAAAAATGATCCACTTATTTCTTTGTGGTCTTAGAAATATGAAACAAAAACTATAGGAAATTAATGTATATTAAATGCATTAATAATCGTAAAAAACCTGACTCTTTGTCTAGATGTAAAAAAATTACCATTTTAAAGTCATATTACTTTCAATAAAAATTCATCATATTTAAAAGCGATTTGGTCAAATAATAATAGATGTAGAAATTTTAATCAACAACTAGTGAATTTAGCAGCAATTTTTGTAACAGAATTAATAATAATTTTAAAAATTTAGCTTATTGTTTAATTGTAAAAAAATAAATAATTAACCAAAATCACATTTATTGCTAAAAAAATTTACAATTTTTGAAAGTGATTTGCTCGAATATTAATAGTTGTAGAAATTTGAAACAAAAAGTAGTGACTTTAGTAGCAATTTCTGTAACAGAATCAATAATAATTTCCTCAAGTTTATGATTAATAAAGCAAAAAAAATGAAACGAATCACCAAAATTGCATTTTTCTGGAAGTAACTTTAAAAGTGATTCGCTCTTTTACTAGAGGCGTTAGAAACTTGAAACAAAAACGAATCGACTCAGCGGCAAATTTACTGTCGAATTTATTAATAATTTTAAAGATTTAGCCCTTTGTTTAATTGTAAAAAATTAAATAATTAACCAAAGTCACAATTTTTGCTATAAAATTTTACAATTTTTAAAAGTGAATTGCTCGAATATTAATAGCTGTCGAAATTTAAAACAAAAAATAGTGACTTTAGTAGCAATTTCTGCAACAGAATCAATAATAATATCCTCAAGTTTATAACTGATAAAGCAAAAAAAAATAAAACGAATTACCAAAATTGCATTTTTCTTGAAGTTACTTTAAAAGTGATTCGCTCTTTTCCTAGAGGCCTTAGAAACTTGAAACAAAAACGAATCGAACCAACGGCAAATTTCCTATCAAATTTATTAATGATTCTAAAAATTTAGCCCTTTGTTTAATTGTAAAAAATTAAATAATTTACCAAAGTCACATTTTATGCTACAAAAATTTACAATTTTTAAAAGTGATTTGCTCAAATAATAATAGCTGTAGAAAATTGAAACAGAAAGTAGTGACTTTAGCAGCAATTTTTGTAATAAAATCAATAATTATTTCCTCAAGTTTATGATTGATAAAGCAAAAAAAAAATGAAGCGAATCACCAAAACTGAAACTGCAAGTAGCTTTAAAAGTGATTCGCTTCTTTCCTAGAGGCCTTAGAAACTTGAAACAAAAACGAATCGACTCAGCGCTAAATTTACTATCAAATTTATTAATGATCCTAAAGGTTTAGCTTTTTGTGTAATTGGAAAAAATAAATAATTAGCCAAAGTCACATTTTTTGCTACAAAAATTTATACTTTTTAAAAGTGATTTGCTCGAATATTAATAGCTGTAGAAATTTGAAAACAAAAAATAGTGACTTGAGTATCAATTGCTGTAACAGAATCAATAATAATTTCCTCAGGTTTATAACTGATAAAGCAAAAAAATATGAAACGAATCACCAAAACTGCGTTTTTTTTTGACATAAATTTAAAGGTAATTCGCTCTTTTATTAGTAGCCTTAGAAACAAAAAACAAAGTCACATTTTTTTGCTACAAAAACTTACAATTTTTAAAAGCGATTTACTCAAATAATAATAGCTGTAGAAACTTGAAACAAAAAGTAGTGACTTTAGCAACAATTTATGTAACAGAATCAATAATAATTTCCTTAATTTTGTGACTGATAAGGCAAAAAATTTAAGCAAATCACCAAAATTGCATTTTTCTTGAAGTAATTTTAAAAGTAATTCGCTCCTTTCCTAGTGGCCTTAGAAACTTGAAACAAAAACAAATCAACTCAGCGGCAAAACTATCAAATTTGTTAATGATCCCAAAGATTTAGCTCTTTGGTTAATTGTAAAAAATTAAATAATTTACCAATTTTTCTTGCTAAACAAAAATTTACAATTTCTGAAAGCGAATTATTAATATCTGTAAGAATTTGAAAAAAATAGTGGATTTAAAAACTATTTTTGCAACAAGATCAACAAATATTTTCTAAAATTTGTGACTAAAAAATTAAACAAATCATAAAAACTGCGTTTTTCTTTACCTAACTCTAAAAGTGATTTACTTTCTTCCTACTAGCTTTAGAAACTTGAAACAACGACGAATCGACTCAAAATGTAATCATTTAACTTTTTGATTAACTATAAAAAATATAATGACAACGATTCACATTTCATTCTGCAAAATTCACAATTTTTAAGAGCGATTTGCTTAAATACTAGTGGTTATCGAGATTTCTATAAAACATCAATATTTTTGTCCTCAAGTCTAACACTGATATAGTAAAAAAAGTGAATCAAATCATCAAAACTGCATTAACTTTAGAAGTGATTCGTTCCCTACCTAGTGGCCTTAGAGACACAAAACCAAAACTTTTTTAAGCCAATTTTTTCGAAAATTCTCTTCCAGAAAGATCCTTATTAGCGACCTTGAAAAACTATAAAACCCAAACTTGGAATTTCCAAGCCTCAAATGTTTCGTAATAACCGTGAAATTACCTCCCCCCTCAATTAACTAATGAGTTCGTCCACCTTTCAGCTTCGTCCAAGAATTCGTCGCCGATCCACTCGACGGAATCACTCTCCTCGTCGACTTGCTTCGAGCGATTCAATTGAGTCAATCGAGTGGTACCACCACCACGGGCAAAATCCCTCCTTCCCTCCAACGTCGCGCCCTCCTCGACGAGCTTTCATGCCTCCAATGCCTCCTACTGTGCTGTCAAAGATACAACGAAGCGATTCGAAAATTGACAGCTTCATCAGCTGGACTTTTCACCTTGGCGATTTGTATAATGAGCAATGTGACAAAATCGCGGATTTTGGCACTGCAATTGTTGACCAAGGCTTGCCAACCTTGCAATAACGGCCACAGTGCGGTGTCGGAAGCCTTAGCCACGCTCAGGCTTAGGTTTGGGGAGCCGGTCAGGTTTAGGTTTCTGGTGGGGATGCTCATGTCGGCAGGGGGGCAAGGGGAGTTGCTGGTAGCCGGGATGAAATTTCTGAATACGTTCCTGGACACGTCCGGGACTATGCAAAAACGGATTTACATCCAAGCTGAGTTGGAACAAGCAGGCTTTGATATAGCCACAATCAAAAAAGTGAGACTTTACAGACTCCCAATTTCGAATTAATTTTTTTGGTTGTAGCAAATTAGTATCAACTCAGCCTCGACTGAGCAACTTTTCGAAGAGTTGGATCATTGGGAGAAGAAGTTTCTCGATGTTGAGAGTCTCTCAATTCGACTTGAGAACGCGGAACGTGAAAATGACTCGTTGCGAGATAAAGTTTTGTTGTTGGAGAGACGAGTCCAGATCCTTTTGGAGGAAAAAGGGATTCTGATTTCGCTCGAACAGTGTCTCAAGGAACGTTGCAGTGAACTACAAGAAGAAGTCCATTCGTTGAAGTCCGAAAAGTCGCAAAAGAACTCGTCGTGTGGAAGTTCGAAAAAGAAAGGTGAGACAAATTTTCGCAAAATTAAAAAAAAAACACAGGTTTGAATTGTTTACTTTATTTTACTCAAGACAGAGCAAATTTTAAGTCTATTAGACTTTTGGGTGCTTCATAATCTTTAAAATTTGTTTTTATAAACAATTTTTTTAGTACTTCTAAAACCATAAGTCGTAGATAAAAATAAAAAGTTTGTCTAGATTCGAATTCAGTAGTTCATTTTATGTAAAACTGTGCAAATTCTAAGTCTATTAAATATTTGAGTGTTTTATAAAATGCCAATGTTTTTTGTCGATCGATTTTTTTTAATATTCCTGAAACTATACTTAGCTGTTAAAAAAAATCGTTTAGATTTAAAAATATTATTGTTTGAGAAAAAGGCAATGTTTACAAATATGTTACAAAAAATAGATTTTTTTCATTATTTATAAAACTACAAGTTATAGTAATAATCCCTTTAGATTTGAATTTCGCAGTTTATTTTACATAAATTAGTGCAAATTTTAAGTTAATTAGACGTTTCAGTATTTTTGGGAAAAAGGCAATGTTTTTAATTTTGGAAATATACTAGGAGTACTAAAAAATGGCTTTGTTTCAATATTCATTATGAAACTACAAATCGTAGTAAAAAAATTCCTGCAGATTACAATTCCTCAGTTCATTTTACGTAATACGGCGTAAATTTCAAGACGTTTGAATAATTGAGAAAATGACAATATTTCGAATTGTAGAAATACGAGTATGTTACTGAAAATAGTTATTTATTATAAGACGATAAAGAAATTGTTTATCTATGAGTGAAAAGGTTAAGTTTACTTGAACTTTTTTCACGAGTAGATAAACAATCTTTAATTTTTTTTTTTAATATTCCGTTCTATTTGTACTCACCTACCAAAATTTCTTGTACAAAATAAAGAATATAAACAGTAGAAAAAAATTACTTTATTTCACTAGACGATAAAAGTCTACTTTATGTACTGAAATTAATTGATAAAAGCACAATGAGTGCAAAATATACGTTTTTTTACTACGACTTGTAGTTTCATATAAACTAAAAAAAAAATATTTTTCAGCAACATATTTCTTAAATTCGAATCATTGTCTTTTTCTCAATAAATTTGCCCTATTTTTTGTAATATGAACTAGGGAATTTGAATCTAAACGAATTTTTTGTCTACGACTTGTAGTTTCAGAAGAATTTAAAAAAAGTATAACAAATTTTAAAGATTCTAATATTTGAAAAATTTTCAAAATTTGCACTGTTTTACGTAATCGGGAATCGGAATCTGAAAGGGTTTTTTACCACGATATTTGTAGTTTCAGAAATATTGAAAAAAATTTCATTTTTCAGTAAAATATTTCTATTGTCTATTGTCTTTTTCTCAAGCACTGAAATGTCTAATTTACTTGAAATTTATACTATTTTATATAAAAACTTAAATCTAAAGAGATTATTTGTCTATGACTTGTCGTTTTATAAATATTGAAAAAAAAACACAATTTTTTTAGTAGATAACTATTTCTAAAATTTTTCTCAATCATTCAAACGTCTAGTACTAGTAGACTTAAAATTTAAAGTTTCTAACGTAATATTAACTAGAGAATTTTTGACTACGATTTGTAGTTTCAGAAGAATTAAAAAAAAAGTATAACAAAATTCAAAAATTCAAAATATTTTAGATGAAACACTCAAGCATTTAATAAACTTGAAATTTGTACTGTTTAATATGAAATGAAATGGAGATTCGAATCAAAAGATACATGTTTAACTACGATTTGTAGTTTGAGAAATAATTAAAAAAACTCATTTTTCAGTATTATATGTATTTCTAAAATTCAAAATATTGCAATTTTCTCAAACATTGAAATGTCTAATACACTTGACATTTACACTATTTTTCGTAAAATATACTGCGGAACTTACAATCAAAGAAATTATTTAATTATGACTTCTAGTTTTATAAATATTTTTCAGTAACATATTTTTAGAATTTAAAAAACTGCCTTTTTCCAAATTATTCAAGCGCCTAGTAGACTTGAAATTTACACTATTTTACGTAATACAAGTAAACTAGGAAATTTGAATCTGGACGAAATTTTGACTCAGCTTCTAATTTCAGAAGAATTAAAAAAAATTAAAAAAATCAAAACATTGGTATTGTTACATAAAATTTTTAAACATATAAAAACTTAAAATTTGCACTGTTATGCGTAAAATAAACCGAAAAATTTAAATTTAAACACATTTTTCACTACAATTTGTAGTTTCAGAAATATTGAAAAAAATACATTTTTCAGTAACATACTTATATTTCTACAATTCGAAATATTGCCATTTTCTCAATTATTCAAACACCTAGTAGATTTGAAATTTACGCTATTTTACGTGAAATGAACTGACGAATTGCAATCTGGAGGAGTTTTTTAATACGTTTTGTAGTTTCATAATAAATACCTATTGAAGCAAAGCCATTTTTTTAGTATTTCTAGTATATTTCCAAATTTTTTTCCAAAAATACTAAAACGTCTAATTAACTTGCAAATTACACTAATTTTTGTAAAATAAATTGCAGAATTCAAATCACAAAGATTATTTGACTATAACTTGTAGTTTTATTTAAAAAAACGAGACTTGTTTGCACTATTTTTCGTAATATGAACTAAGAAATGTGAATCTAGATAAAATTTTGACTACAGCTTGTAGTTTCAGAAGAATTAAAAAATAAGTAGCAACATTTAAAAATTCGAAAGATTAACATTACATAAAACTCTCATCAAACATATAAAAACTTAAAATTTGCACTGTTAACGTAAAATGAACTGAAAAATTCAAATTTAAAGAAATTTTTTACTACAATTTGTAGTTTCAAAACTATTGAAAAAAATCCATTTATTTTGCACTTGAATCAACTTTTTTTTTTAATCCCTTTATTACATTAATCTTCAGCAGACTCTCCCCATGAAGATGAGGGTATTTCTTCATCGGAGAGAAGCCTCACCCCTGACGAAGTCCTCCAACGCGAATCTTCCGTCTACGAATTGTACAACGTCCAAAACCCCATAATGAAGAAACCGTCAAAAATCGAAGAAGAAGACGAAACGACCATCGACGAAGTCATCGAAGAACTACGAAACATAATCAACGACGCGGAAACCGAGACATACCGAACGGAAGAAAAGAAGAAACTCGAAAGAAAGAAGATCGAAGAAGCACAAGTAGCCAGTAAAATCCAAATGACGGTGGCCATCGACGACTTTAGCAAAGAACTTGAAATTGTCCCTTCGAATCTCCACCCCCAGCCTCCTAGACGCACTAAAAGCCTCGTCCACCTCTTCATCCCGGCTGAAGATTACGATTATGGAAACAAGGAGTTGTTCTTCGAAAACGAAACTCCTTACACGAGTGAAGAAGGCTCCGATTCCCTCCTGAGTGCCTCCAAATACCAACTTCCACGAGTCGAGAAGGGCCGAAAGCCGGTTCACCGGTCCGAATCCTTCCGACAAGCCAAACAACCCCAAAAACCGGTCTCGAAACAAAACAGCTTCGATGGGGGCTACTTCAGTGTGGGCGTAGTGACCGAAGACTCGAAGAAAGTCAAATCGAAGAGTCTGGACCGAATCGATGACGGTTTAGAGACTTTAGTCGACATCGTGGTCACAGACCATGAAATCCCCAAACCTGAATCTCTCCTCAACCATCAGAAAAAGTTCACCGATGAGAAAATGAAGATGTTTCTGCCCAAGAGTAACAATGACGTGCTTTACTACTTCCCGAGGATACAAGAACGGAAAAATAACACGTTTCTGGCACGGGGGCACAACGCAGGGCTGTATTCGGGACAAGTCATACGACAAAACTCCAGTGTTAAGAAACCGGAATTTGTCTCGGGGAATAACAGGGGGAAAGTGACGGATCTACCGTCGGGACTTTACTGATTTAGTGTAAATAATTATTTATCTGTGCAATATTAGAGTACACGAGGTTGGGGTTTGAGGGGTGCACTTGGACCGTTCTTGACGAGAACGGGCCCGAAGTGAATGGAATGTACAAAGAGGGGTAGATTATGATCTCGAGTGTCTACATTTTAATAAAATGGTTCCCAAACAACGTTTTTTTCTATCCTTGCCCAAAAAATAAGGTTAGAGGAGGGGGGAGGTGAGGTTAGGTAAAAAAATACAAAAACAGTAAAACACCCAACATATTAAAGCTGATAGCCAGATTAATTTAATTTCTGTATTAATGAAGTGATTAAATGTAAAAATCGTGATAAAAAACGATAATATCGAGTGTGAACTGTCGGTAATGTAGGGACCTGGATGTCAAAAGTGGTGATTAAATTTTGAATTTTACAGTTAAAAAAAATATATAAAATAATAATTTTTTAACGCCTAATTTTACCAAAAATTTGTGATATTAATTAATGTATTAAAATGTAAAATCGTTATAAAAAATTCAAGTATGACAATCGGTAATGTAGGTGCCTGCATGATTACATTCACCTGTCAAAAGTCATTCAAGTTTGCTTTTTATTTTTGAAAAAAATATAAAGTTACAGTGATTTAACGCCTAATTTTACCACAAATCTGTGATATTAAGTGATGATTAACATTTCTAGTCTCACACTTAGATTTATTTCGTAAAATTGTGCAATCAGAGGAGGTGACTAATTTGCCACATTTCACAAAACCCATATCAAAAAAAACATTTTTTGCAGGTAATAATGAGTGTGGAGGCCCAGAACTTCCTCACCGGCTTTCATAACGTGCCGGGGGGCACCGTTAAGGAAAAACAGACAAATTTTTTCAAGTTTTTGCATCGGAACATCTCGCTCAAAAACCAACAAGAGACTCTTGACTTTATCAGTGATAATTTGCAAGCGACGTGTCACTTAGAGCGGATCTTTCGCACCGATTTTCTCATCTACTTTCGCCGTTTCACCGAATTGTACCGAGATTTTAAAACGGGGGACGAAATCACACTTTGCAAGCTTTCAAGAGAGAACTGGTTTTTCCTGCAGGCGTTTAAGGACGTGGGGGCTCACGAATTGATAAACGAGGTGTTGCCGTCACTGTCGTACAGCCTCAAAGTCAGGATTTTGAAAAAACTGCCGGGTGGTGAGACAGCTGATGCGATTTTTGACGGGCTTTGTGACCGCTATGGGGTTTTTTTCCCTACGGTTTTCCTAGCGAAATGCACGAAAAATAAAATTTCGGAAACTTTGAGAAAATATCCGATTAAATTGACAACGAATCAATTGAAATTAATTTACGCTAAAGACCCGGAGTTGCTCTGTGTATATTTTGACGAAAGGGTGAGGCATTTGGGAGACTCCGGTTTTATGAACAATGACCCGATTTGGGTTTTTCTTGCCCAAAACAACCCTCAATTATTTTCGAAATTGTTCGTCAAATATAAATTTGAAATTAGTCTTGGTCGTCGGACCACAAAAAACTACATAAAGTCGCAGAAAAGTCAAGTTTTGGCCGAAGCAAAATCGTTCATAAACGTCCTAAATTCGGCCGCAATCGTCCGAAAGTTGGGGCCAGAAATTCGATTTATTCTCTTCGAAAATGGGAAAAATTCGCAACCTTATTGGTCGTCCCATCTTAAATTTTTCCCGAAAAATCACCAATTTGAGATTTTCCGCTCGGTTTACGATTTGATCCATTATAAGAAATTTGGTAGTGACATTGAGACAATTTCCGAGGAAATTTTAAAATTGATTCCCGACGTAGAAGAGAGGGAGAAATACGCGAAATTGTTGTACGAAAAATCGGGTAAATTGGATTATATTCAATATTTCAGTGCCCAATTTTTCCTTCAGTACTTTTTGGAAAAGATTGATTTTTTAAAAAGTGACGAAAGGGCCAGATTTGTAAAACTAGCCGTCAATTGTTGCAATATTAACAATGACCTTGACACATTATTAAAAATTTGTGAATTGCTTTGCAATCGATTAAAAAACGACGGTGACTCGTCGTTATCATTTTTGTACGCATTGTGCGACAATCCGAAAATTGTGGATCAATTCACGAAAATTCACTGGAAATTCGTGTACGAAATAATGGCAATTGAGCAATCCAATCGTGGCTCATTCTATAACAAAAGTTTCATTTGGAAAAAGCACGTGGTTTTTTTGGTGGAAAATGGGTTAGATTTAAGGCCGTTTTTGGCCGAATCTGATACACTTTTTTACTGCTACGATATGCGCAACAATACGAAAGTGTTTCGAGCCGTCGTGTGTGAATTGCTCGAATCCGGCGATCCGAATCCGGAGGGGGAAAACGATTCGGAATTGTACGATTGTCAAATCGCTGCTTTTTGTAAATTACACAACGATGAACACGATTCGAAAATCGAAGTTTGGACACATCCGAGAGTCCTAAATTCGGTGAAAAAAATCCTAGAGGATGAGACAGTCACGGGTTGGGATTATTGGGTCGAATTAGGCATTGCGTATGTCATATGTCGTAAAACCACCAATAAAGAAGTGAAAAACTTGTATTTTAAAAGACTAGAGTGTGTGGGAAATATCTACGGCTTGAATTGGTTTTTACAGCACGAACCAGAGACAATTGAGCAAAATTTAGATTTGTTTTTGAATCGAATTAGTGTGATTTCCCACCGTTCAGTCGTATATTGGCGCCAAATAAAAAAATTATCATTTCTTAATATTGGCAACCGTGTGATTGACTTCTGTCAGAAAAAATTGCGTGAAACCAAATTCGAACGTTCAGAAGTGCGTGATTTAGTCTGGGCGTTGACCCTAGTGGCCCCCTCTGATGTTTATCTAAATTACCTCAAAACTTTCATTCCGAATTCACCAAAAGTTGATTTAACGGTTGAAGAAACGAAAAATTTGTATTCGGTCCAATGCACACTCGTGCGCTATTCGCATTATACAGTCCGTCCCGAAGCACTTTTCCCTGTCGCATTACAATTCTGTACAGGTGATTACTTGCATTCGGGTCTAGGGCCCGTTTATAGTTGTTTGTATAAAACACCGGAAATTGACACGAAAAAATACTTGTCCGAAATTAGGGAAATCAAAGCAGTTTCGGTTAAAAAACACGCATTGCATTTGAGTTGTGTCGTTTGTGATGTTGGTACGAATGTGGAATGTTTCAAAATGGCGCCCGATTGTCAAATGGACGTGCTGAAATATTTTGCGAAAAATCCGAATCCACTTTTGTGGGATTTACTCGAAAAACAGGTGTGTCAAACTGGCGAAAAAAGTTTGGACGTTTTTAAGTGGATGTTGAATGTTACGGTTCCCGGAAATTACAGATGCAAGTTTTTCGAAATTATTTGGAACGTTTTAGATAGTTTTAAGAATACAGAAATCAAGAACATTCTGATTAAAAAAATCGATAAAAATTGTATCGAGGGGCTTAATCATGACATTGCGGGTAAAATCGTAAAAGAGACGCTTTTTAAATTCGAAGAAGGCCACGATTGTATTGCCAACTTACTTATCCACACCGGGGCCAAATTTGAATATTTTGGGGAAATTTTAAAGGATTTTAAAAAGTCACGTTGGGGTGGTGCAAATCCACGTCCAGCGCGTCGCCAATTACTAAATTTTGTTCAAATTCTTTTTAAAAATTACCTCAAATCTGATCGAAATAATGAAAAATTCGTTTCGCAATTATCGGATGTTTTTCAGTCGGTTTTTTCACTTTCGGAAGCTTTCGTTGAGAATATTTTAATTTCGTGTATGTTTCTCAAAGGTCAAAACGTTGAAAATTGTGCAAAAACCATCAAGGAATTGAATAAAACGGTCGCTTGCCAGTACGGAAATGTCGGTGTTAATTTTTTGGGGGAAGTACTCAAAAATAGAGTAATGTCACTATTGTTTCCAAATGATAGAATGAAATTATGTCACTATTTACTAGAAATTCAAGACTGTGTTAATGATTATATTTTAATCATTAAATTAATACCGGACGAACCGAAAAGAAAAGACGATTTTTTGTTGTACGAGAAAATTATAAAAGACTTGAGTCACGTGACCGATAATGAAGTTCAATTGTTACTTAATTTATTATATTCTCGACAATAATAGAAATGTACGGTTGGGAACACTAGCAATTACTGGGGATTTTGTATGTCAAAATAGTCAGTGTTGCCAACTTTGAAACGAATGTAATCCCAATACAGTATTTTTCTACGCATTTACATAATAAGCACAAAATGCCTTTTATTTTTTTGATTGACTGGTGTTAAGAAACAATTTTTTGTTAAAATAGAAATGTATTTTTGAAGAAATAATTTATTTTTTTTTCAATTTCCTTTCTTATCCTAGCACAAAAACAAGTTTTGCTAAAAATAAAATACAATAAAGGTTTAAACACATGGTTGGTAAAATGATCGCATTACTGTTCCGTATAGGAATGTTCGAACTCCTCGTCGGTGGTTTGTATCTCCTCTTGCGTGTCCTTGACCAAAAACCCGTGTTTTTGATCAACAACAACATCAACAACAACCTCGTTTTCTGCATATTCATAATCCACATATTCATAATTATGATCGTCGTTTTCCTCCGTATTAACAATAGAAAAATTCGCCGCATTGATCAATTCGTCATTGGCCTCCCCTGTATATCTGTAAAACCCCCAAATCCACAACTGATTCTCCATACACTTGATGTACCCCAAAACTTTATTAAAGAAATGATTAATATTGATTTTGGGATGGCTTTCTATAAATTGCCACGCTCTCACTACATTTTTCTTCTGAGAGACGCTCAAATCTCGCGCAAATGTCCGTTTCGAGGGTGCTGTATTCACCGTGGATAAAAACGCCTCCAATTCAATCAATTTCTCGACCACTGACACGATATTTATCTGTTGTTTTTGCATTTTCCCCTTGGAAATCATCAGAAAATCTCGTAGTTTTTTAAAAGGGGCTATCACATTCTCGTTGATCCGGTTTTCTAGTCTGTGGACACAAAACAAATCGGGGGTGACTTTATTAATCCATTGGTCTTTGATGTAATCAAATATGGGGGCTGTCAACTCGCCCTGACCCATCTCCGAGGCCTGAAGCTCGATGTTGTTCAAACCATCGATGATCGTGTTGACGGGTAAAAGGGGCAACATGAGGATCATGTGGTAGATGTTTCGGAAACAAGAGTTTGTTTCGAGTTCACGTGACAAGTTCAAAGAACAAATTTTTTTGTAAATGTTTTGGGTGTAATAGAAGACCGAGCCTCCTATGTGTGAATCCCCGTAAATTTCGCCTAAGGAATAGTGAAGAGTTGCTTCATAATCAGTGACTATTTCTTCCGGTTTCAATTTTGGGGCTAGAATGTCTCTGAGATAAGTAAAAACGGTTTTGTATATTTCTGGGGATTTTTCATTAGTAAGTGCAAACATGATGGGGTAATACTGGAAGCAATCAAACTTGATTTTTCGTTTTTTCACTACGATAGGTTGGTACTTCTCATTGTCACTAATCCACACCAAAACCGTAATCAAATGATATTTAAAATTTTCACTCGTATCAATCTTATAACTCGCATCCACGTACATTATTTTACTCTCTGAAATCTCCTCGATTGTTTCACAGTTGGCAAAAATGACAGCTTTCCCCCCGTCACTCGCCGTGAGCCTCTCCTGATAAAATTGTTTATGTCCGTGCGTAAAATGTAATTTTTGGAACTCATCGTTTTCAATCTGGTCGAAAAACTGTTCAAAGGAGTAAATCGGTGGTGATTTTAGATTCATCTGTTGGCAACAAATCTGGTTAATGACAGTTTTGAGAGGTACCAACTGTCGCATTTGGGGATCTTTCTCGCAAAACTCCTCGTAAACACTGCGAAAATTTAGGGATTTGTCACTTTGCATTTTGCGACGCATGAGGTGGAGGAAGATTTGTTTGCGACGCTCTTCGGAGGAGGGGGCGGGGTGGTTATGCCCGACTTTGACGACGACTTTTGAGTCGACAATGCCCGATTCGGGGGTGGTTTGCTCAGCGCTGGCGCGGCATTTCCCGATGAGGCATTTTAAATGCCTGTAAACAAAATTTATATAAAAAAACAAAACACAACAAAAATTACCTGACATTCCCCTTGCATAATCTGTACTCAAACACGTAATTATCAACCAAACAGAACGACTCCGAGTTGTAAACCCCCTCAATTTCCTTCGCTTCATACGTACCAACCCTGGTTTGATTAACACTAACTTTGATCCCTTTGGGGAGTTTCAGTTCACTGTTGCCAACTTTGACCACATTGCTGGGCCCCACGATTGCAACCGAACTTTCTTGTTCGTGGACCTCCTCATCATCGCTCTGAACTTGAATAATGATATTATCGGCGCTTTTCATTTCATCGGTCAAACGTCCCTCCAAAGCTTTCATTAATTCGGCCTCAACATATTCGAATTTTTTATCAATATCCGACTTCTCTGCTTTGACTTCTTTTTTAATAGGATGCAGTTCGGTGTATTTTCGAATATCATCAGCGCAGAATTTCTTCACTTGAATCGTTTGGCTTTCGTGGATTTTGCGTTTTTCGGCGAATCGGATCGCTTCGCGTTGTTTTTGGTCGCTGGTGAGGCAATCCGAGCGGAATTTGTGATAACGACGGACCGTTTGGAGACATGGGGGGCAGATTAGTTTGGATAAACGGTCGCCTTTAGCCACACGGAGTGAGGGCATGCACGCGATTATGGCCTGGGCGATGGTCACGTTGGGGGCGAGGAGAGTGTAGATGTTGGTTGTGGCCTCCTCCTTGCCCAAACACAGCCTACAAGCTTTAATTTTTTTATTAATTGTGTTGATTTATTATTCACTTGCCTGATTCGTGGTCGAGTCGTGGGCGCCCAAAAGCGTCCAAGTTTGCTAAAAAAAAAAATGTAAAGTTAGGAAAACCGGCAACGTTGCTGATTCTACTAATCAAGGCCTACTTACGTCTCTCCAAGCTTGGTGTCTTTTCACCTAAAAAAAATTATTTTCATTGAGTAATTAGTTTCTAATTAATTAATATTACCACTAGTCGAGGGTTTGGGTGGATTTTTTTCCGCCTCTTTAAATTTGGTAGGACTGGGAATTGGTAGTTCCTCCAATACGTTTTCGAGGGCATTTTCTGCCAAAAAATTGTTAGGAATTGTTGACTTTTGGATGAATTTTACCTTTAACTCGGTCTAAAACGTCACTATCGTCGGAAAAATGGTCCAAACAGACGAAACTCGTGTCAGTTGGTACGAAATCGGGAATTTCTAAAGCCTCCAACCATTGTTTTAACAATTCGGTCTGTTTGGGAAACGGTATTCCGGTCGTTGCGGTGTTTTTACAATTCGGTACAACGCATCTTTCTGCATTTTCATTTTCTGCTGTTGCTTCCATGTTTGTTGTTTGGAGAGAAAAACGATTTATTAGAACTATTGGGATTTTTCGGTTTTTTGATACAATTCAATAATTTAAAAAAGCAGAAATCTAATGTAGAGTACGTTTTTCAAACATTTCAAAACAACTTTACATAGTCACAAACACAGCGTTTTTGTCGTAGACCAAGCGTCGATTGACTTTTAGGTTATTTTTTGCAGCGCCATCTTATGGAAGTGATAATTGAACTAAAATTTAAATGAAATAATTGAATAAATATTTCTCAATTTGTGTTATTCTCTCAAAAAATCCTGACACTCATTTGAAAAATTTATTTTTGCCGAAAAATATTTCCCATTTATTGTTATTTTTACAAAATATCTTGACACTCATTTAGAGGATTTACTTTGTCAGGTTGGTGCTTGAAATATCCATTTAAAGTAAAAAAATACCCTCATAAACTTGCTTCATTCAATATGTGCGAATTTTTTTATTAATCATTATGTAAAAATTTGCTTTTTTTTAATGAAAAAAAAAACTTTGCCGAAACCCGGGATTGAACCGGGGACCTTTAGATCTTCAGTCTAACGCTCTCCCAACTGAGCTATTTCGGCTTATGTCATTCTTTTTTTCTCATCGTACATTTACGACCTTTTATTCATTATTCAGTAAAATTATCTGATTCTGAAATTCATTATTTATTCAAAAATCTGTTTAGTAGAAAAAATACGGCAAAACTGGGATTATAATTGACAGTTTTATGCGGATTTTCAATCATTCTGATAACATTAATCTGATTTATTGAGGCGTGATAGTCAGAAATTCGACTTTGGACCAAAATAAATAAAAATGTTTTTATGTATATTTGAATTTTTTGTCTAGCTAGACACTTAATTTCAAACATTTAGTGCGTAATTAAAGACTTTGTGATTTTATTTCCATAATAAAAACCATCATTTACGCTAATTAATCGCCAAATAACAAAAATGCGATTAAAACTTCCATAAAGGCCGGGTTTTCCCCAACGATATTTTAATCTATTTTGATGGTCACTTCATTTATCAGATTTCACGCCGATAAAATGATAAAAATGAATTACAAAGTAATGCAAACTCACTTCAAGTGTGTACTTTTAAATCCTAGTCAGAAAAACTTTAAAAAAGCTTTTAGCAATGTCATCAAGTGACCCCAGCAGTGCCAACATCGTAAAATTCGCATCTTTGGGTACGTCTCATCCTATTTTTGTGAAGCCTCAAAACCTAAAAATAAATCTGGAATGGAAATATAGGTTATGTAACTACATTTCCAGACTCTGAGACACAAGCCGTCCTCCGACAAGCCACCGCCAGCCGCCTCAATGCCTATTGTCCCTACTCCAAGTTTCAAGTGGGGGCTGCGGTTGTCACCGCCACCGGGGCCATTTTCGGGGGTTGTAACATCGAAAATTCGGCGTACACTGTGGGGATTTGTGCAGAACGCACGGCCCTAGCCAAGGCCATAAGTGAGGGGTTTAAGAGTTTTAAAGCGGTGGCAGTGATAGGCAACCAAGAAAACGTCTACACCACCCCATGTGGGGCTTGCAGGCAGTTTCTGAGCGAATTTGGAAATTTAAAAATTTTTATTTCTAAGCCGGACCTGGAGGACGTCTACGTGACCGATTTAGGACAACTTTTACCGCACCAGTTTCAGATCGACCAATAAATTTATAAAAATAAATTTATGAAAATGTACAATGTTTGGTTTTAATTTTAATTTTAATAGTCGCATCTAGAGTTTTTTTTTTTTAAATTGTGATTTTGATTATTTAACAATTTGGAAGGTGTCAAAATTATTTTTTTGTTGTTGTAAGATTGATGACAATTTGACAATTATTATACAGATATTATGTTATTTTTTAAAATTTTTGTTCAACAAACTGATTATATTTGGTTAAAAAACAGCCAAAACATGATAATAACGTAATATCACATGAAAGTTGTTTATTTGCCGTAAAAATTGTTTTTTATGTTTAATTTTTACTAAAATTGTAATTGCAAATATTTCTTTGTTATGTTGGCATGGCAACTGTCATTTGAAAAAAGTTAACTCAAATTTTGTTCGACAAAAAGTGATTATTTTCGGTGAATAAATGGCCAAAAACACTCATTTTTGGAAAGTTTACAATGTTTTTATTATAATTAGTTGTTTATTACTTTAAAAAATTTAGGTTTTTGGTAAAGTAATTTTTTCGTTCGACTGTCTTTTGTTTCAAAACTACAAGATTTTATCGGATTAAAAAAGTTTCCATAAAAAAATCTTAGGCGAAAATTTATCAATGATAACATGATAATAATATAAAATCACATTAAAGTTGTTTATTTGCAGTGAACATTGTATTTTTATATGTTTTTTTGTTATGTTGGCATGGCAACTGTCATTTGAAAAAATTAACTCAAATTTTCTTTGACAAAAAGTGATTATTTTCGGTGAATAAATGGCCAAAAACACTCATTCCTGGTAAGTTTCCAATGTTTTTATAAAAAATTAGTTGTTTGTTACATTGTTTGGTAAAAGCACTTTTCGTTCGATTCTCTTTTGTTTTCAAACTTCAAGTTAAGTTTTCATAAAAAATATCTTGGGCGAAAATTTATTAGTAAAACATTTATTTAGGTTGTTTATTCGCCAAATAAATTACAAATATTTTTTTGTTGTTACGCTGGCATGACAACTGTCATTTAAAAAAGTTTACTTAATTTTTTTGCCAATGAATTTTGGTAAAAAAGTGGTCAAAAACACTCACCTTTGGTAAGTTAACGCTACCTTTAATAAATTCTTCGTTAGGATGATACTGAATTTTACAAACGAATTTTTTGTTTCAAATTTTTAATGGCTAATTTCGCCCAAAAACACCCATGCTTGTAATATTTGATTTATTTTGAACTAGATTATAAAAAAATAATAAGATACACAACAAAAACTATCACGTTAGTAGATACAGCAGTCAACAAGTTACCAAAACGGGCACCAGCCTATGTAGCACTGCGACAAATTCTCGTTACTCGTCGCTTGTTGTATTAACAAATCGACTTGTTTGGGAATAGTCAAAGATTCCTCGGTTGCAAAATCATTCCCGGTTAGTTTATCCCTGACCCGATTTATGATAATAACAGCTCTGGCATTCACTTCGTGTTGCGGCTCATTATCCTCCATTATCATCTCTCTTTTGGGGACATTCAACGATTCGGACGAGCCCTGTTTTTGGGAACAACTCGTCGACATGGAATCGCTATTCATCGGCAAATTTCGCACCTCGATATCCATCAATCTCCAATTAAGCAAGGGATCGTAAACGAAAGCTTCGAGAACCGCCATTAGACTGTCTTTATTCCTGTGCAACATCGACATGACTGACTCACAAGTCCTCCGGTAGGTCCCTTCAATCCCTGTCACCTCCATGGCGTTTATCAGCATTCTAGTCAACCGGAAAGGGATTTTCTCCGGGAATTTCTCCCTTGTCATTGCCACTTCGAAACAATCCCCGAAGTCTATATGCAGGATTTTACCACTCAGTCTGTCCAACATTAAATTCGAAGGGTGGCGATCCCCCAAGCCCAAAATATACCCCACCATTGACATCACAGCTAACGATCGCGTGTAATTAGTCCTTCGGTCGAACCAAACCTCAGACGAGGGGCTCTTCAGCCACAATAACTTCGCCAAATCGTCACCATGTGTGTGCTCAAGGGCATGCTCAAAAACCTCCATTTTTTGCATCACAGTTAAATGGTCGTAATCAGGGGCCATCCGCAACATAATCCTGTGCTCTATATTCAACAAAATCTTTTTCTTGTCTCTGTAATCACGGATTAACGTGTGGAGAGTATCACAGTGGGGTAACCACCCAATCAAACCCGAATTCGTGCTCAGGGGAATCACCGCGTATCGCTGTATTGTCAAATTGCGTCTAAACGTATCAGGATCTTTCATTAATAAAGTATTAACTAAACCAAACAATTGCATAACGCGTTCGTCCTGTCTTAAATCCTCGTGACCTTTGAGAAGAAACATGTAGTCTTTGCCGTTGCTGCCACGAATGACCAGTTTGCGGGGCCGTTGTTTCGACGTGATGACTTCTAGTGAACGATTAAAGTTGGCAATACGTACGATTGGCTGCCCTGGACAGTAACTACCAGGCACGGCCAACTCTAAGTCTTGACATACCAGTAAATTGGGCGATACGTATTGCAATTCGAGAGAGGTGAGTTGGGGTAATTGACGGGAAATACGGCGAAATACGTGGTAATACAGGTCCCAAGCTTGGTTCAAGTCTCGTATGTTGCTCGAAAGCTGGAAAAAAAAAACGATTTTTAATTTTTCAATTCTACGCCAAGCGATCACTTTTAAATGTCCTTGTTTCCGATTTTCGTAAATGTTATAAAACGCGTAAAAATAGGTGATACGTATCTTTTCAATGTATATTGATTGAGAAAACGGGGGATATACTAAATTAAGTACTTCGAAACAACAAAAAAATTATCTTAAGAACAAATCGACATATTGAAATGTTTTTTGTAAATAATAGACATAAATACGCACTCTACGGACGTGGTAATGCTTGTTTTTTTAAAAACTTTTTTTACAAATAAAAAAACAATAAAAAATTACACATGTTTTTAAAATTTTCAAAAAATTCATGTAAAAACTTTCAATTTTTTTGCGAGCCCTGAAAAGTGCATATAACACTGAAATCGCCTGAAAGTAGTGTTTCCATAGATATGAAATAAAAAAAAAGACCAAAAAAATCAATATTTCAAAACAAACTTTTCAGTAGAGGAGAAGTAAAATATATTTTATTCTCCTGATACTAGGATAAAAATGTATAGGTTTCGCGTTCCATTTATGGTGTTTGCTAGAGACTAAAATGATATTTTAAAAAATCGCAATTTTTTTCAAATTGACAACAACCAAACGTTTTTTGCTTAAATTACACTAGTTTACACGATTTTTATAACTTAGCTGAATGTCATAATTTCTTATAGATTTTGAGACACTGAGTTCAAAAAAAAATATTGAAAAAAAGTCCACCACGTCACGTTTAAGAAATATGTAATTAACAAAAATACGTAAATCGCCAAACAACAAATTAAAAGTGAATTTATTTACTTTGTTTTTTATTCTTTTTTGGATCAATTTTCTTTATACCAGTCCAACAGTAATCTCCTAACATATTTTTATCATAAAAACCTTCGTACAGATCTTTGAAAACCCTTTAGATCTTGATGAAAACGTTCGCTTTGTACCGTCACTCATGCTGTGTACGTTTTTTAGAAAAAAGTCCAAATGCCCGTCAATGAAATGTATTTTAAGACGCATTTAGACTGATGATCTGGCGATAATTTTGCAATAATTCAGCAACAATTTTTATTTTATATAAATTTTAAATCGGAGGCATTTGTGGAGAAAGCAGTAAAATTATTGGGCAGTATGAATAAAAAGTAGGAAAAGCTTTTGCTATAGTTTTGTCTCTTTCTTTCCTATAAAATCTAAGTTACGTCTTTTACTATTACGAGTAGAAGCATTTACTTAACTTTATTAATACGGCCCACTGTTCATAACAAAAACTATGATGTGATAAAAAAAATAACTATTATTTTTGTTTAAAGGTAAATATGTATAAAAATAATAAAAAAAACTAGTGTTATTTATTATTTGAGGAGCAGACTTTCAAAATGCAGTTTATCCATGTTTTTATGAATTGGGATAAAGGATTTTAAAGTTTTTTTGCAAAATGCCTAAGTACTCCAGCCGTAAAATTAGTGTTGAATTTGTACATATTTTTTCACATTTATTGTCACTGATATAAAAAATTAAAATTATTTCTTAAAAGAAGGACAGTTTTTGTTCTCTCCTCCAAAAATGCAAATTTGGACAAAATGCTTTTTGAAAGTCTGCTCCTCATTTGAAAAACTAATTAATGAATGATAAAGTACTGAAAAAAATGTGACTATTCACATTTTATTCAAATTTTATCGAAAAAATTGGCATATACTTAAGTTGCTATTTTGAAAAAAGAAAATCGCATAACTCAAAAACAAAACAAAATTTTATCTTAAAATACTCACATTTTTTATAGCACTTTAATTTTTATTATTTATTATTTTCTGAGACAAATAATTAAAAAAAAACACTCTTGATTCCATACTTTTTGTTCACCTTGTACTCGTATAGCAAAACGTAATATTTGACTGAAACTGCCCATCTACATGCATCTTTTGTAAATTACCAAAAGGTACATCTAAAGAGTAGATATTTTTGAATACATATACAAGATTAAAAAAAATCATTTTTAAAACGTCTGTCTTGAAACTTGTATCAGGACAGGATCTGAAGGTTTTTACACGAATCTTTTGAAAATTTTTAAAACCTGCGTAATTATAAATTTTTGGTTTAAACGATATATTTTCAAATTATTTGTTAATACCTTCCTATTTCTATCTATTGCTTAAAAAAATATTTCAAGATGTTGATTTGTTCTTAAGATATTTTTTTTTGCTTCATTATGTACATGCGTTTTTTCAATATGCATTGAAAAAAATAAAAAAACTGAAAAATAGTATATCTCAAATTTACGAAAATCAGAAACAATGATATTTAAAAGTGCTCGTTTTGGCATGGAATTATTCTATTAAAATACAAACCTTGTATCTTTGACACCAATCTTGCGCCTCATTCAAATCCCTCCCGTAAGTCTGATTAAAACTCGTCTCTTTCAACGTTTGGGGTCCCCTTTCCATCATCGCATGTAACGGTTCGAGAATCCGTAGCATTCCCTTGACATTACGTTCCCCAAAATACAATCTTGAGGCTTCTTCAAGCCCTTCGTGCCATATTTCGTGCCACAAAATTGCCACACGAATCAGTTCCTCGGACGCCATCATAGCCTGACTTACCAACGTAGGGGAATGCTCACTCATCGATTTTAAAATACTATTCGCTGCATTCCTACGTCTAATTGAATTACTTTTAGTCGCAACGGTTAAAGGGTACACTAGGGCTTGTGGATGCGTTTTTCCAATATCCACCAATAGGTGATTGATTAATTTCGACACTAGCGCCGTCGTGTCAATTCTCGCAATTAATTGGGGAATCACTTGAAGCCACGTGTTTTTCTCAACCAATCGGATGCCTTCAACAATCGCATCGTAAACTTCCGGCCAATCACCATAATCGAACCAAAGTGTCAACAAACGTAAAGTGTCTTGCAATGAACTCCCTTTTGATAAATTAATCGACCTGAAACAGTCTTTCAGACAAGACCAAAATCCGGTTAAACCGACTTACTTGAAAAATCCCTGAACGGCTAAAACCGTATAATGGGTTTTGTCTTCCTGTCTCGGGTAATACAACACCGTTTCAAAGTTCATGTAAGCCCACGCATGCCACGCTTTGTACCATTGAGGATCATGTTCGGTGGCTTGTTTGTAACATTTCAAAATGAAAGGTATGGAAGTTTCATTAATGCCTTCAAGTGCCTCATGCCAAGCCCCCAATTTGAGATAACATCTCGCCAAGAGTCTCTTTTTCTCGTCAATTGTCACATCATCGATTGGTTCGGTTTGCGAATAGTCAGCGACGAATTGTGACAGTTTTTGGAAAGCTTTTTGTTTTTCCTGTGCCACCCATAAATGTTTCGCGTAGGCTAGAGTGACATGTGGTTGGTTTTTGGGCAAGGGGGCATCGGGGCGTTCGTTCGGGTCGTAACCCAATAACATGACTAGGGTTTTTTGCGATAGCATCTGTCAATACTGGCAGTAGAAAAAATATCGTGTGTAACACAAAACTCACCAATGAACCGCTCTTGCGACACAATGCCGCATATTTCACCCATGTTCTTTTATCTTCTTGTGGTGTCAAGACCAAAGAGTGGACTTGAATGATTCTTTGCCAGTCTTCAACTAGTTTGTGACCCGATTGGAGTCTTTGCCACCACATGGCCTTTAAGGTGGGCCTCCTTTCCGGCACTAACCGATACTGCATGACTTCTTCCAACTCGGATAACATTTGTACCATGACCATGGCCCCGTAAGCCCTTTGGTAGGACTCACCGGCCATTGCGGTTAACTCATTATCGAGCAAATCGCGGGCCGAGTCGATAAATCTCTGGGCCTGAAATCGGTGAATTGTTAAAAATATTTTTTTTTGTGTGTAAAGGACAAACCATTTCGTAATCTTCTTTATGTATTGCTAAAATCGCACGGTAGAAAGCCCCCTCTTGGGTATCTCGCGGAATAACATTGACGTATGTTTCCATCGATCTGTAATCGTGTAAACCGAAAGAGGCCGCTGCTGCCAACCGACTAGCCTTCTGTTTACTATCGTCATTTAATAAAGTGAAATTTTTCTCGACGACTTGGTGTAATTCGTCCCATTCGCCCAAGGCTTCGAGACATCTGAAAAATCACCGATTTATTAAACCAAACTACATACAGGGTGTTCCAGCGAGTTGGTAAAGTCTATTAATAACTTTTAAGTGATAAAATAAAAAAAAAATGAACAGGACATTAAAACTTGTGTTTTTTTTAAATGAAACACCCTAAGATTCTTGGTATTTTTCGATGTAGCCTTTTAAAACAATGTTTTTACGCTAAACTTTTATTAGTTGAGTTCGCTTAGTTTTAGGTTTTTTGACGAAAACATGCACTTTTTAAAAATTTATTAAACAAAAAGACAGCTAGAACAATTTTTTTCTTATTTCTGCAAAGAAGAAAGTACAGAATTTAAAGCTGTAGCAATTTTTTAGTGTTTTGCAATTGTAACGATTAAAAAATGAAGAAGTTTGTTAAAAGTTAAGTAACTTAAAAAATTTAAATGAAACACCCTATTTTTTATTTTTGCATCTAATAGATTGATAAATTAAAAAAAATTAACTTTTAATATCTAGAATTGATAAATGAAAAGATATTTAACATTCAATATTAATTGTAGCAACAATGATTATCAATATCTGAGTATTCTTGATACTATGGCAAACATAGTAATTCCACCACGGATCACTTATCCGTTGATTTATCCAGAGTTTGTAAGTCGTTATAAATACTGAAATTCGAATTATTTTATTGTAAAAATAAAGAATAATGGATTCAATTTAACACAAATGTGATTATTAAGTGATATTTCTTCCATCTCTTGTGCAACTGTGCACTTTTTGGCTACTGAAACAATAGTAATTATTTTTTTAATGTCTTTTTACTTATTGATTATAAACACCTAAAAGTAAATAATTTTAGAAAGACAATTTAATAATCTTTTAAATGCAAAAATAATAAATAGGGTGCTCCATTTAAATTTTTTAATTTATTGAACTTTCAAGAAACACCTTCATTTTTTTAACTTTACTAATGCAACACACTAAAAAATGTTACAACCTTATAGCTTGTACCTTCTTCTTTGCGGTAGTAAAAAAAATATATTTCTAGATTTCAGTTTCTGTGTAATAAGTTTTTAAAAAGTGCATGATTTCGTCGAAAAAAACGTCTTATTTTTAAAACTAAGCAAAATCGACCAATAAAAGTTTAGCTTAAAAACATTGTCATAAAAATCTACATCCAAAAACGCTAAAAAACATATGGTGTTTCATTTAAAAAAACACATGTTTGTATTGTAACTTATTTTTGTGACACGCTGTATAGTCGAAAATAATTTTAGGCGATGGACTAGATTAGTATCTATCAATGTCCTGAATAATTTTTTCTAATTTTACCATTTAAAGGTGACTAATAAACTTTTTCAACTGGCTGGGACAGCCTGTATACTAGGATACGAAAGGAGATACAAAATCGCTCAATTTTTTTGACTTAAAAAAAGTAGTACAGCAGAGTAAAAATGAGGGCGCTTAAAGCGTTTTGCCGTCTCAGTTTCAAATTGTTTTAAACTAATTAATTCAACCAGTTTACTAATTGCTTGGAAAAAAATGCAAAAATGTTGAGCTTTACATTCTTAATAAGCTGCGAAAAACGAACGAACGTTCATATTTCACGAGAAATATGAACAAAAAATTTTTTTAAATTTAAAATCTGTGCTCCGTTTCATGTTTTTCAAAATACTGCAAATACGGTTAAAGATACAAGAAAAAGAAAGAAAGTTGTAAAGAACAAAATTTCCTAGTAAAAAGTCCGCGAGACCATATCTTTATCTTCAATCGTTCAGGTTTGAAATAATTTTCTGGCTCATGCGGACTTTTTTCTTAGAAATTTTATTCTCTACATTACATTTTTTTTGTATCTTTAACCGTATTCGCAGCATTTTGCAAAATATAAGACGGAGCGCAAATTGGTAATTAGTATTTTTTTTAAAAAACAGTTTTCAATAAAATTTTTGCATTAACTTTATCTCTTATTATTGAGAATTTAATGCTCAATCTGCCTTTAATTTTTTTGTATGCCTTCTGCTCACCGTTATTTAAATACAGTCATTTTATATTTCATTACTCTTAAAATTTAAACGAGAAAAGAACAACTGCGCTATCTGGCCTCACTAACGGAACGTTTTGTTTTACATCGTGTCGTATCCTAGTTTTTTTTCAAACATAATTAAAAATCAAACCTCATCTTCCCCAAACAAGCCTCTTGATCCATCTCATCCACTTCCAACTTCTCAGTATACAACCTCAAAGCCTTCTCCCAATTGTGCAACTTTTCGTACCACCTGACCTGTACTTGCATCTCCCTCTGCATGACATATTGTAACAATCCGTCAGCTGCTTCCTTCTGTTGCAATTTATTATTGATCGAAATGAGTGCCTCAACGACTTGACTACTCGCCCCCGCCACGACTTGACTAGTCGCCTCCTTTCGAAACTGCTCTTCTTTATAATGTAAAGCTTTGGCGTACGCCCGACAATGCATGGCATGATGCCCCAAAATGTGGCTATCGAGGGGCAAAGGCCCCTTATCGCAATGCTCCATAAATTCAGCCAAATTCAAAATTGTTTGAGTTATTTCCGGAACGTCGGGTACAGTCAAAGCTTGTTCGAGACAATTAATGAGTTCTTTTTGCATGTTTTCGCTTAATTCGGACCAACAACTAACAAAAGCGGCATTGAATAAATCACGTGGTAGTTGTGAATACGTCTGAGCTAAAGTTAAACAAGAACGCAATGCCGGAATTGGGGATTGTTTTAATAGTTCGATACTAAGACGTCTCAACCATTCCAACCAATCATCTTTCGAGACTCTTCGGACGGGAGTCCAGGCCTGTTGTAGGTTAGATTCGGACACTTTGAGTCTTTGGATCATTCCACTGTCGGCAGGCATGGCAGGGTCTCGGTTTTTCCCCCCAGTTTTCGATCTCGGCATTGGAAAATCAACATCTTCGGCGAGTGTTGTCTCATTTTGTATTTTCGAAACTAAAGTATCGAATTTACTGTGTTGTATCTTGTGTTTAGTCATCACTTTCTGTACAAGAGGTACAAAAATTGCAAATTTTCGACCTAATTGTTGCATGAGGGAACATAAAGTCTCCATAGCTGTGGGTCTCAATTCGGGACAATTATCAATCGTTCGGACTAAAGGGTGTACAATGCGCGAGATAAAGTCTGAAAAGTCGATAATTTCGGCCAATTGATCGATAGTTTCGAGGGCTTTTTTCGACACGACTATTGGACACTCCTGAGCGTCGAATAAACGCACAATGGGGGGCAAAATCAGATGCATATATTCGTCTAAATTGTTACCGAAATTATGCAAAGCTTCCAAAAGTTTGATAGTGTAAAGTCGTTCCTTAGACGTATCGTGGTTTAAAACGCGTAAAATGTGAGGCAACATTTTCGGTAAATAAACCTTAAATTCGGCCCCCAAAGCGACAGCTATGTGTTCCACTAAGAGGATCAAAGTCCCTTGAATCGTACTATTCGGTGTCCAGAATTCTTTAATAAGAAGACAAATATCGTCCAAATAGTTTCGAATGTGTTGTTTGACGATGTAAATCAGTTGTGCCAACTGCTGGAAGAGGAATTCTTTAAAATTGACATCGGCTGAAACACAGTTATTTAGTTGGTACCCCTTGACCAAAATCCCAACTCACCGGTCCTCACAACATGTAAAAGACTAGGCAAAACTTGCGATATATACGGCACACATTTAATCCCTAAACTTTTGAAAATAAAAGTCACTGCTTGCACCACCATAGTATGGTGTTGGGCAAGCGTTGGATCCTTAATAATCCTCATCAAAGTCGCTATAGCTATCGCCAAGTAGTACTCCTCCAAAGTACTCGAACTCATATTAACCAACATCTCACTCGATGTCAAATCCGCATTCAAATCCTCCCCTTTATCAGTCATCGGTATCAAAACCGGGGCTTCAGGGTAATAATCAATCTCTCCCCGATTGATTTTATGTTTGTACGGATCCAAAGCCCCCAATAATCCCAAAACTCGAATTGTTTCTCTTCGAATGTACGATTGTTGTTCCGTTTTGAGAAGATTGAGGAGGACGTCGAGTAGTATTGGATATTCGGTGTATGGTTGGATCACATGACCGGTCACGCCCACCAATTGGCCTAAAGTACATAAGGCGGCGCCTCGTTTTTCGGGGGCGGAGGCGTCGCCTAACATTTCGAGTAAGATTCCCATCAGTTCTTGCATCCATTCTTGGAGTTCGGTGCCGCCGCTGCTCACTTCTGCCAAATCGCCGATTGTGAGGAGGACCGAGAGGACCACGCCAGGGTTGGGCTCGGGGTCGCGCAGCTTGGGCACCAAGACCTATTCCAAAAAAACAATGTAATTTATTAAAGAGTGTCCAAAATAAAGAAATTTCATAGAAATAAGAGAGAAAAGTATCAATTTTTAATCTCAACAGAAATTTTGCGTCAGATTAAAAATACTATTTTTTCATTTTGATTCTCTAATAGACATACAGTGGAACTTCGTTAAGTCGCAGTACCTATTACCAAAAAATTATTTGAGTTATCGAGATATACAATATTACTTTTTTATAGATTGTTTTATCTTAAATTTATAAAATGAACACATTAAATATAAAAATAAAGTTTAATAAAAATTTAAAATTGCATACAGGATATAAAGTATCGAACTAAACGGTTTTTTTAATCATTTGCCTCCAGAAAATAATAATTAATATAAATANGTAATATAAAAAATGTGATCTTCTGTTTTTTAGTTATGCGAATTTTTTTTGGCAAAATTGCAATTTATGTAATAAATGTAAAGTAGATAGTTATTATAACCTTCCTGAGAAAAATGGCTTTATAGTTGTCATTTAAAAAAATAGAAAATTTCGAAAAATTGTATTTTTGATAAAACATATTTTCATAGTACTTTATCTTCATCAATTAGTTTTTCCAAAAAATAAATGATTTAAGCAAAAAATGTTTGGTTCCATACTTTTTATTTAGGAGATCTGAAAAGAATTTTTTTGATTGATTTTTGTTTGAAAACATGAAATGGTAAGTACGTATCTTGAATTTGTGGTCAAAAATTTCGATTCCAGAGTGCACTACAAGAATTATCATTTGATCGAGAGAAATAAGACGGAGTGGTCAAAAAACTCAAAACAAGAAAATTTCGAAAAATTTTATTCTTGATAGAACATCACATTTTTATAGTTCTTTATCATTCATCAATAAGTTTTCCAAAAAAAATTATATTTTAAGCAAAAAACGTTTAGTTCCATACTTTTTATTAAGTAGCCTTTTCCCGGATTCTTGTAAAAGATAAAAAATTCTCGATTTAAATTTTCATTTTTTAGTTTTGGTTAAAGATTAATTTCTAACATAATTTTAGTTTTGAGAAATCAAGTATGCCTTAGAAATTTTCAAAAACTTATTTTACCGCAAAGTGTCTTTTATTTATGTAGAAAATACAATAACAAATTATTTAAAAAAGTTGTTTAGAATCAACATCTAAGCCCCTATTCAAAATTTCAAGTCATCAGCCGACTATGATTTTTAATTTTTTTTTATGATTGTTTCACAAATCAAAGAAAATGTTATTTTTAACAGTTCTTTTATTATGAATAAGAAAATTTCACCCTTAGATTATCACTATTGAATAACTATTTCTGTTACTAAAAATATAACTGTCTTGGAAAAAAAAATTAAAAATCATAGTTGGTCGATATTTTTGAAATTTGGTGTAGGGGCCTAGATATTGATTCTAAACAGCTTTTCATAATAACTCATATTTGCTCCTTAAAAGACACTTTACAGAAAAATAGTGTTTTTTTTTAAATTTACAAGGCATATTTGAATTTTTAAACGAAAATCATGTTAGAAATTAGTTTTTAAGCCTTCTTGAGGTGACAGAAAATTTTTTTTGTATTGAAAACTGTCTAATATATTTGTACTTTTTTCGAAAAAGCTATCATAGACCTTGAATTTTGAGTAAACAAACGGAAGACACGTGCATACTGTAAAAATTAATCTAATGCGCATAAAGTAAAATCAATTCGACTTATCGAAATTTCGAGATATAGAGGTTCTACTGTATTAAGGAACACGACCTCATCGTGTACGATGTCTTAATAGTCAAAAGGCCACTAGATCAAATTTTGGCTTTTAAAATTAAGACATTACCAAACGTCACAACAATCTTTAAATCGATTAAAGTAAATTTTTTTGTTTAAAAACGGCACAAAGAGGGCAAATTACAAAAATACTATAAAAAACTCGTTTCATAAGCGGTTAAAATAGCGATTACGATAAACTTGAATTCGTGCTTCAAGACTGTTTTTATGAAAACAGTTGAAAACTTTTTTGAAAGTTTCAAGGCTGGGTAATTACCTTCAAAATGGGTTCCATGTAGGGCCTTATCATCCTCGGCGCGCTCACCACCAGGTGATCCAGCATCCTCGCCCCCTGTTCCTTATTCCTGCCGCTTCCCGAATGTTCCAACTCTGACAAAAGCTGAACCAAAGTCTTCCTCAACGAGGGCATAACATACGCCGGATTCATCGCACTCAACCTCCCAATCGTGAAGAGTGCAACTTCACGTATTTCAAACATTTCGTCTTGTAAAGCCACAAAGAGTGCACTGAGAGACTCCGCTTGTGCTAAATGATTATCAAACGTTCGATCGAGGGAAATTAACACCCCATACCTGACATTGGGGTCGGTATCGGTCAACCCCACACTCAACAAACGATGCAAAACAGCAGCGACAGTCTTTGTGACAGTTTCGGAGGAGTTCTTCGCTGTGGAGTGTATGGCATGGCGGAGGAGACGACAAGTAGTCCTCACCGCCTCCAATCGGATTTCGTTATTGTCGTGGATGAGGAAATGATTGGCGCAGCGATGGACAAATGGGAGGAGTCTCTGGCCTTCGAAATCAAAAGTTCCGAGTGTTTTGAGGGCCAAAACTATGATTTGGACATCGTTGACTTCGGGGATTGCGAGACTCATCACGGTTCCGGTCAAGTGTCGTGGCATTCCTGGATGTACCAGTGGTTTATTTAACAGAATATAACTCAACATTTTCAATAACCCGACACTGATCTTCTCTTTATGTTCCGGGACTTTTCGGGATAACTCCCGGAGACATATAGTGAGGGAAGCGGTAAGTCCAGTGGCTAGCATGGGCTCGAGGAGGTTCGGTATGTCCATTTTTGAGTGGTTTTTGAGGGCATGAGCTAGAAACGTGACACAGTTGAAAATTGAGGAGTCGATAGGGCTCCTCTTGCGCCCCAAAATGTCAACTCGGGGTAAATACATCCGGATTATTTCCATAATGCGTTCAATGTACGGCTCAATGTCACTCTCAACAGCGATCGCAATCAAGCCAATAGTCACAAAAGCCTTCGCTCTTTCCTTCTCGCGACTCTTCAAGATGTTGAAAATGTGATTCATGACGGGGCTCAAGTGTTGCTTGACGAAATTTTCGCGGTCGAAGGCCCCCAATCGGGGCAAAATCGTGAGGAAACTCTGTTGAATGTGAGACGAACGCGAGAGTCTCTGAGCCAAAACATCCAAGCAAATGTAGTCGAATTTTTCGAAAACGAGCTGTCGACAAATTTGCGATTCTATAATGGCGATTTGAGACGGCGCTAAAGACACAGCTTGGTATTGGGGGATGCGTCGCGAGACCGAAAAGACGAATCGAGATTTAGTGAAATTGAAACTAGTCTCGACTGTTTGCTTGGTGTCAGTGCGTTCGAGGAGACTTTTGCATTTGCGTTCCCACTCGGCGTTGGAGCACCGAACCAGTTCGTTGAGGATGAGGAGGAAGCCGTGGACGCGTTCCTCTTTCATGCGTTCGCCCCGTTCCACCGAGAGCATCTTGACAGACTCGTCGTAGCATTGTTTGTACCATTGTGGTCTTTGGTTCTGTTTGGCGGTCTCTCTTTGCGCGGTGACGACCAAAGCGGCCCTCAAAGCCTCAACGGCGCTCTCCCTGATGGCCGATTTGGGGTCCTGAATGGCGAAAAAGATCAAATCGAAAAATTGTGACACGTGTTGGTAGAAATAAGTCGGCATTGTGAGTGCCAACTCTTTGAGAACTAGAACAGCAGCTTGTCGCTTCCCCTATAAAAATTTTGCTCAAACTTGAGTGATTTTGAGGAGGTGCATACTTCAATCCTGTCGCCACTGAGCCATTCGAAGGCGCGCTTGACCTCAAACTCGACGTATTCCGAGGCTTTGGAGCCCGAGACGAGCGCCAAGCGCCCCATTGTCTTTGCCACCGATTCCATGACGCTCACGTCGCTTGAAGGCAGTAAATTGCGTAAATAATTGGCGAAACGTGATATACGTGTCGTCATGTTCCCGAAATCGACGCCGATTAAACACACTGAAAGAAGAAATTGAGAAAAATTCGGGTTTCAGGTCGGACTAACCAATCGCTAGGATTCCCCCTTTTTTCTCGTTAGGGTCGTTGCTCGAGACCATTTCGAAGATGTGGTGGTTGAATTCGTCGAGGAAGTTTGTTATTTCGTCGGGGGTGGCCTCGCGAAGCTCGCTTTTTACATACAAACTCAATTCTCGAGCGGTTTTTTGACGAATGTCGGGGTTGCGGGATTTCAACCCCGCAACGAATTGTTGCATGGCCAAAGTGGACATTTTGTTAGAAAGGAAGCATCTTTTGCTGGGTTTATCAACACTGAACGATTCTTATCACACTCATGATGGTGCTGCCATTTTTGCCGAATGACATGGGGGATTTCGACCGGTTTGAATTTTGACAGGGGTTGGTGTTAAAGTCCAATTCAAATTAATTCAAACAAAAATTGTATTTTTTGTGTTTATTATAAAACAAAAAAACATACAAATTTAAATTTGCGAGAAAGCCCTTGACATAACTTGAAAAATAAGAAAAAAAAATAACTTGGGGAATTTCGTTTTGTGATTGCGACCAGTTTGGTAATGTGTGTTGCCAACTTCTCTTACTTTTGAGAAATCTGTCAAAAGTGTTACAAAAATGGTAAGTTTGTAAAAATCCATAATTATTTTAACCATCCCAAGTCGTAACATATTTTTTTCGTTCGATGTAGACACAATAGACCAATTTCCATTATTACAAAACAATTTTTTGTGTGTTAGTAGCCCAAATCGGCATTTTCTTCTATTTGAGGTTATGTATAGCCAATTTTTTGTGTCTACTTGAGAAAAAGCTTAAAAACATATTAGTATCACTCATTGTTGATTGCCATTACGTAAAATTGCGTTTTTTACAGGCCAAGCGTACCAAGAAGGTCGGAATTGTAGGAAAATACGGAACCCGTTATGGGGCTTCACTCCGTAAAATGGTCAAAAAAATGGAAATTACTCAACACAGCAAATATTCCTGCAGTTTTTGTGGCAAGGTGAATGTCGACAAACACTTGTTTTAATTAATTAATTGTATAATTTTTTCAATGTTTACTTTTTTGGTTCGTTTTCTCATTTGTATAATTAGTTTCTATCATCGATAGATAAGCAGAAATTTACTTTTTCAATAATTTGTTTCAGGATGCCATGAAAAGGAGTTGTGTCGGGATTTGGTCCTGCAAGAGGTGCAAACGTGTGGTAGCAGGAGGCGCTTGGGTCTATTCCACCACAGCAGCGTCATCTCTCAGATCAGCCGTTCGTCGTCTCAGAGAAGTTAAAGAACAGTAATTTTTTTCATTAATAAAATACCTAAAAACACTTGTTTTTCATAAACAACAAACACCTAAAACCACATTTTTTCCAATTAAATAAGTTGGCAATATACCAAAGATAAAATTTCAAAATTTTTTATTTGGTAAAAGTTAGAAAAATCACATTTTTGTACAAATAAATATGAAGCTACCATATTTCATATAAAAATCAGTCATAACTCATAATAATTCCCGCAATTCGGGACTCGTCGAACTGTCACTATGTCTGTTGAAACTCTCAGAGTCACTTTCATATTTTTTGGAAGTTCTGGACCTTTTTGACCTCCGACTTTGGTGCGATTCTCTCCCCGACCGCGACCTCTTCTCTTGTTCCTTCTCACTTTCACTGCTACTCAACTCCTCGATATGCAACCCTCCTTGCCTCAACGATTTCATCACTAGTTGATCACTCAAATCTAAATTCGTGTTACTCAAAACTACGTTGTATTTATTTTCGGAGACGGTGACCGAAACGTTTTCGTCCTCACTCATATTGGGATTATAAGGGATTACGAGTTTCCCATTTGAGAGCAGTTTGCTGATGTGTTGTCCATCCAGACCCGCATTGCCCGTTCGTCGTTTCAAGTTTGGTTCAAGACTCTTTACTCCGCACAATCGCAAGGTATCCATTAGGTTTGAGTCAAGACTGGCACTGCTTTCCCTTTTATTCCCTGTTTTTGACAATCGAGAATCCCTCCGGAAATCGTGCCGTCGCCGCCTATGTCTCCGGTTTACTTTTCTGGTGGCTTTCAACTCGCTGATTTGGACTGACAATTGACTATCACCCGAATTACACCGACTCTCGATGCTCACATGTCTCACCGACACATGACTCACTTCCGAGTCAATCGAGTGATTATTACTCGAATAACCAACTTCCTCAACGATAGCCCCCCTGCGGTTCAACAACCGGGGGAGATTCACCGCCCAGGCTGTACTAAAACTATCACTAACGGCACTATTTAAGTCAAAGTGGAGCCCCACAGGATCGGTGTAGTGTTGACACTCGATTGAGATCCGCCCGCCTTGATTGAACTTCTCCCTTTTGTCGAAAATTTGCGCAATGATTTTGTGTTTTTGGAGTTTCATTGGTTCCTCTACTTCGCAGCGAAATTTCCTGCAAATCAGAGAACTAAATTTGGGATTAGTTTGACGGGGAGGGGGAAGGATTACTTCCTGATGTAACGAGTCCAGCTGTGGAGAGTTGCACTGCACCAGACCCAGGAAGCCATGGCGATGCCGGCGCCAAACACGGCGAGGAGTTGCAATTGGAGCATCGCGACACTGGGGCGCGACTCCTGCTTACAATGGGAGAAGTCCGAGCTCAAACTCGTCAATTTGCATCTGAAATCACCGAACTAGTGAACTAGTTTGAACTGATTTAAACCTACAAAATGTAGCTCTGGAGGCTCAAACTCCACGTTTCCGAGTTGATGAAAACATATCCATGGTAAATGAAAGTGATTATGCAGAATACGATCATAAACAGGGTAAAAACCCCCATTCTGACGATATTTGAACGGATTTTTCGACTCGAGTGTTCCGATATTATTTCTCTACTGTCGATTTTGACTTTGATCAAAAGGATGAGTCCTCGGACTATAATGTATCCTGCGACGATCATGGTAACGGCCAGTGGTGCCAACAAGAGTCCAGCTCTTGCCGCAAAATTGAATATTCCTACAAAGCAAATCCCCGTGACGTAATCCCCGTCGATTTCGCCCACCGCCATGGTAGTTATGGTAAACATCAATGGTAAACTCCACGCTATTAAATGAAAATAAACTCGTTTTTTATCGACACGTTCTTGGATTTTCCCGAGTGCTTGAACGCAGCTCATGTGCCACGTGTAGCTGAAAAGGACGAACCAGACCATTCCTGCGATTAGAAAATAGTAAACTAGAACAAAAACGATGACGCAGGAAAGGTTCTCAGTGGCACTGGGTTCCGATTTTCGCAAGGTTCCGTCCTTTTTGCAGACGATGTCTTCGCGAGTGTCCGAACTGAGAAACTGGATGAACCAACCGCCGTAGGAAATGAAGAAACAGATGTTCATGTAGAAAATGGTCAAAGCGGGGTACTTGTTGGCGGTTGTCCAGTCGATGATGAATGTCACGATGGTAAAGAAGTTGAAGAAACCACACACGAGGACGCAGTAACCGATGAGTTTGTGGATTTGGTAATGCTCGTTTTCGGTGTAGAGGGAGTCCTTGCAGCGCAGGCCGCACTCCTCCACGTCTGAAATGTTATTTGGAACTAGCATAAATTGGGTTGAAACTACTGAAACTAGAACTAAGTTCTAAATCAATCAAAAATTTGCTAGTTCTTGAACTTTTATCAATATCGAGGATAGTACCAATCGGATTGGAATCATTTTACAGATTTAGACTTGTCTTTTCATTTTGTACCCAAATGTAGCACTTTTGTAAATTTGTAAAAAAAATAATCACGTAAATCGACGATATTTACATGCTTATCGTGTTGCGCTGTATTGTTGGTTGTCTAACTACAAACACCTAAATTTTTGTTCTTTCCTTTATATGTTTTATTAGTTGCAATAATGTGAAAATCCATTTTTTTGCATCAGTATGAACTGTGTTAAAATTACTGAAGGCAGAAAATTTTGGCCAAAACTAATCTCGTGAATCGCGACATTCGGAACCTGTGCGTTGCGATGTATCGTTGATTGCCTACTTTTAACAACATATTTTATTGTTTTTTCTTATTATTTTATTATGAAATGTGAAAATTCGTACCTGGATAGAACCAGTTCTGATTATCAGTCTTGACTAAGGGCTCCATGCAGAACCCCGTGGTGTTGAACCTCAATTCTTGGACGTCGTTTTTGCAATTTGATGAAAAAATGCGGCCGTCGTCACAGTTGAGGAATTTGGGAAAGATCGAGCTGTTGTAGAACATTTTGCAGGGTTTGAGGGTGAGTTGGCACATTTCCCTGGACGGTAAGTCGACTTTGCCGTTTTCGCACTTTGGCATGTACAAAGCGCACAGAAAAGGCTGTATTACTGCCCAGCATTTGGGTATGAACCTGAGGTATTTGTAATGGTGGAGCTTTTCCTGTACTTTTTCTTGCGTCGTCAAGTCGGTGAGTTCCAGAGTCGTGGAGAAATAGGGTAGTTTCATCCCCATGCACGTGGTGTAGTTCAAAAGCTGGCATTTGGCCGGCTTTTGGCAGTACTTCTTGAAGTGGAGGTCGTACCTTGAGCCGTCTCTCTCGCCGTGTCTCACGACGATTTCGTTGAATTGCGATGAGTTCACTTCGAGGTCTTGTGAGCACAAAGAGCGTTCAAACAAACACGAAATAATTAAAATCAAGAGACGCATTTTCGCATTTTCGAAGTGAAACTTTGCCGAAAACTGCACGTGTTGTTGTTTAGCTTTGGCCGGATGGGAGGAGCGATAAAGACGAGAATAGAAAGTTTTATTGGGGGAAAGGAGACAACGGGACCACCCACATGGGAGGCTCATAGTTTCCTAGAAGAGGAGACGGAAACAAGTGCATGCGTGGGACAAAGATGGGGAACGTGCATGGACCTCACGCATCAAGGTCAAGCATTTTCAGGATATTTCAGGACCAAAGACAACACTACACTGGCCAAGGATGTGTCGAAGCTTTCACGACGTGCAAATTATTCATAATTAGCTGTGTTTGGGGCGACAATTAAGCGCATATTTGGAATTTTATGACTAAGTCCAGCGACTTAAGTATCTGAAAAACAGGGGATGAATGCAAATAAGTGACCCTTCATGAATCTTAATTTTCCGTTGAGCTAATCACACAGAAATAAGTAATAAAAAAAGAAAAAAAAATATATTCAAATTTGTCAGTGTCTTACCGTGACCTAACTTACCGACTTCGAATTTTAATAAAACCATAGAGGAAATATTTCATCTATGATAAAACAAAACAATTAAGCTGTATTTTTATTAATTGATTCTATTTGAACGATGTAACCGTATTATGTGTAATTATACAACTGATTATAATTTTTTTACGTAATTATTAGATTGTATAATGTGTTGCCTATCTCTCAGGGTTACTACTAAAACACCAAATTCTGTTAATAATTTTATTAAAAAACGTCTATCACAAAATTCAAAAGCTCAATCAAAAGTTAATAAAATTTGCCACTTACTTTAATACTTATATTTACAATAAATGCGCGTTTCAGTCTAAAACTTATTTAAAAATGGCGGCCTTTTGCAGGAATTGTTGCCTCCTCAAAATCCTCTCTTCCTCCGCTCGCTTCCTCTCCTCCTGTTCTTCCAGTATCTCGCTCTCGAATTTGCTCCTCTTTGCCAACTCCTGGATCTGTAAGAAAGTCTCAAAACCGGGCCCCCAATTTTTGTTAAATACCTTTGCTTCAAAAAACTCCTTCGCCCCATTGACCCCCACTTTATCCACGTCGACTTCGGTCAATTTGGCCATTTGAGCTAACCCGGAGTCCTCTTCGAGTTCTCCAGCCCTGGCTTTGCGATACACTAGGAGAAACTCTCTGAAGGAGAGTCTCCCGTCGTCATCCTCGTCCACTTCCTTGATCATCGCTTTAAGCCCCACGTGGGTCTGGGGGGCTCCCAAAACCTCCATCATGCGTTTCAGTTCGCTGAGGCTCAAGTAACCGTCTTTGTTGGTGTTGAATCTGGAAATATTTCAATCAGTGGGAGAGGAAAATAAAATGCCCCCTCTGAGATTGCTAAAATTTAAATTGGTTTCAATTCATTCCAGCCTTGGAATTCGTTTTATTCTTTATGGTTTAGTGGTTGTTGCATAATTCTTTACCACTCAAAGAATAAATAATAAATTAATTCGGATTTTTTACTGGGAATGAATCGAACTACCTGTTCACTTCCTTGTAACTTATTGCAGAATAATTAACAATGGAGGTGTATTTAATGAATTTCGTTTATAAATTACGAGTAATTATGATTACGTGTAGGCGGATGTGTGTGTAACACGATGGTGTTTATTCAGTGGTCTTATTTTAGAAGTGTTGATACCCAGATATCATAGACACATTTCCTTCCTTTTATTTACATGGACTGTATGTATTTTCATCATTATCTCCTGGTTTGGTTTGTAAACAATTATCATTGAGTTGTTACTTTTAGAATTTTTTCCATTATTTAAATAAACAAAAAGTGGAAAAAACTGCAACTTTCATGATTTATAGAGAGAAACGTCATTGTCACACTCGTCAATGCTCCCACCTTTCCACTCTCACCTTGGCGTAAACTACGTGTTCTGCACCGGTTCGATAACGCTTTCGGCCACGTTTCCATCCGCACGACCTCCTCAGTTCACCCAGAATGCGCGATGACGTCCCCCACGTTCCTCTTACTCCTAGTGCTCTGCACCCCAAGTCGCAGCTATTTCGCCCCCCCGAAAGACTCCTGTTTCTGTCAATTGAGCGGTAACATCGACGAGTGTTCGTGTAACATCAACACCGTCGACCATTTCAACAACATCAAAGTCTATCCGCGATTGCGTAGCCTCCTCCGCAAGGACTATTTCCGGTTTTTTAAAGTGAATTTGAAACGAGAGTGTCCGTTTTGGCACGATGACAGCAAGTGTGCCATGAAGTATTGCCACGTGCTACCGTGTGGAGAGGGGGAAGTACCGCAAGGGATCAAAGGGGAAGGTGGGCGCGGTGCCGAGGCGAAATGCGAGGAGGACAAACAATTAGACTATTTAAACAAAACCATAAGTGAGAAAATGAGAGGGGATTTGGTCATGTGGACTGCGTATGACTACGCTCAGGATGAGTTTTGTGTTAAAGATGATAAAGATGAAGATGCGGAATATGTCGATTTGTTACTAAACCCGGAGAGGTTTACAGGTTATAAAGGGCCTTCGGCTAACAGAATTTGGAATTCGATTTATTTGGAAAATTGTTTTCGCCCTAAAACCTTCTATAGCCTCTATATTCCCAGTCATATGCTTAGTAATATGTGTTTGGAAGAAAGGGTTTATTATAGGGCCATTTCTGGGCTCCATTCCAGCATCAACATCCACCTCTGTGCTAACTATTTACTATCAAATTCGCACGGTTTGTCTCTCACTAACCCAAAAGGCGAGTGGGGCCCAAATTTGAAAGAATTCAAAAGACGTTTTTCCCCGGAAACCACCAACGGCGAGGGCCCCAATTGGTTGCGAAACTTGTATTTCGTCTATTTGCTTGAATTGAGAGCTTTGGCCAAAGCAGCGAAGTATTTGGAACAAGAAAAATACTACACAGGTTAGTTTAAGTTTTTTTAAATTTGGCGCCGAATCACGCCGCCATTTTCAGGCAACGAAATGGAGGATTTCGACACGCAAATGGCCGTCAAGGATCTCCTCAATGTTGCCAAACCCTTCACCGGACATTTCGACGAGTCGACTATGTTTACCGGAAGTGAGCAGGCCAAACGTCTCAAAAACGAATTTAAAGAGCACTTCCGGAACGTGACACGAATTATGGATTGTGTCGGTTGTGATAAGTGTAAATTATGGGGGAAATTGCAAACTCGGGGTTTAGGAACGGCGTTAAAGATTCTATTTTCGCAAAATTTTAACCAAAAGAAGTTGTTTAGGTTACAGAGGGAGGAAATAGTGGCGTTATTTAACGCTTTCGGACGCTTGTCGACGAGTATTTACAAATTGGACGATTTTAGACAAATGTTACATGAACACGAAGAGTTGTAGAAAAAAATCAGTATTTTTGATAATATAACTGTGATGATGTAATTATAAAGACTTAATTTTAAGTAGTCGTTAGAAAAAATATAGTGTGTGTCCCCACATCACAATATCTAAGTCGTTTTTTGTTTGTACTTCAATATATTTTTTGAACTATTTATTTCCAATAAAAAATCGGAGAAAAAAATTGTTTTATTATCATTACCTTGACCTGAGTATGGAAATTACTTTCTAGCCATTTTTCCATACTTTCAGTGCCATCTGCAAACTACGAATTTCTCCCCAAATGATTTATGGTTTCATGACTGAAAAATTATAATTACAAGCCGGAAATCCGGTAAATTCACTATTTTTACAAAATATTTACGTTCGGGTGACTCAGTTTGTTTGGTGTTTATGACCTGTAAAAAATCAATCAAATGACTCAACTCGTAAACATGAAGAATTTCAACGTCAAATCGGTAATGAAAGTCGATTAAAAATAAGTCCAAGGAAGACGACGTGAGAAAGTGTTATTTTTTTCACATTACGAGTAAAAGCCTTTCACTGAAAATTGATTAGGACTATCGGCGTGATTGAAGATGCGACTTTTACCACTTTTTTGTTGAATTAAGTGGAAAAGAAGCCGTAAATGGTCTTAATTACTGCTAAGTGAATAATCGTGTTAAGGTTTATTGTATGTGCACGTAAGATTTTACTCGGGTCTTCGACTCTGAAACCTAATTAGGTCGCAGGTGGAATTTGGTATTTTTAGCGAAAGAATTTTTGTCTTAATCTAGGAACACAAATTTCAAAAAATAATCAAAAAAGTGTGAATATGGTTTAAATTCTTTACTGTACAAGAAAAGACGGAATTTTTAAACCAAACTTATGTAGAATATTCTAGGAAGTTGATTGATGTCGAAAAAAAGAAAATTCCGGTTAATTAATTTTTATCTATTTAAATTTTTTTGTTGTCCAAAAAAGTCATATTTTTAACCAAACTTATGTAGGTATAATGTTCTAGGAAGTTGATTGATGTCGAAAAAAGAAGGTCATTCTGGTTAATTAATTTAATTAATTTTTATCTTGAAAATCAACGACCAACGGGATTTTGTTTCGGGGTAAAAATTTACCCCGGAATCAGAGTTATCTTATGTAAAATTGTCCAAAAAATCCGAATATGTTGCTTTAATCCATAAATTAGTAAATCACATATTAAAAAAAAATGTTTTGTTTTAATCTAGGAACACAAGTTTTTAAAAAATAATCGATAAAGATAGTCTCTAGTGCAAAAACTGTTTAAACTTTTTTGCTGTACAAAAAAGTCGAAGTATTTTCGAGCACACTTATGTATAATGTTCTAGGAAGTTGATTGATGTTGAAAAAAAAGGAAAATTCCGGTTAATTAATTTTTGAAATTAATCTTGAAAATCTACAACTAACGGGATTTGGTCTCTGAAGTTTAGAGAACGCTAAAGATAGTCAGTCTTAACCTTTTTTGTTGTGTAAAATAGTCTATGTATGTATTTTTGACCAAACTTATGTATAATGTTCTAGGAAGTTGATTGATGTCACAAATTCCACTGAGTGGAATTTGATATTTTTAGCAAAAAAGCAAAAAAAAAACACTTGTACTTAATGTTAAAGAGTGCTTTTATCAATTAATTTCAGTAGATAAAGCAATTTTTTTAACGTCTAGTTAAATAAAGTAATTTTTATCTACTGTCTATATTTTATTAACTAATTTCAGTAGATTTTTATCGTCTAGTGAAATAAAATAATTTTTATCTACTCAAGAAATTCTGGTAGATGAATACAAAATAAAATGAAATATTACACACGACGATAAAGATTGTTTATCTACTCTTAAAAAAAAGTCCACTCGTGACTTCGCCACTCGTAAACTTAACCTTTTCACTCGTAGATAAACAATTTCTTTATCGTCTTGTATAATAAATAACTATTTATTGTCCAAAAAAAGTCGAAAACTCGAAAACAAAAATTTACATCGAGTTATAATTCGCTTTCCGGGTAAATCCAAAGTCTAATGACCCGGAGCGTCCCGGAATTGGGGAATTCTTACGTAAAATTGTCCGAAAAGGCCGAATATGTTGTTCTAATCCATAAATTAATAAATTCCACATTAAAATAATTTGTTTTGTTTTAATTTAGGAATTCTAATTTTTAACAAATAATCAATAAAAAAACTGTTTAAACGTTTTTGTTGTTTAAAAAAGTCTAAGTGTTTTAAAGCAAAGTTATGTATATAATGTTCTAGGAAGTTGATTGATGTCGAAAATTAGGTCGCAGAGTGGAAATTGTGTTTTTTAGAAAAAAACAATAGTTTTCTATTGTCCAAAAAAAGTCGAAAATTTGTAAATAAAAACCCACGGAGAGTATAATTCGGTTTCCGGGTAAATACAAAGTTTAAGGACCCGGAGCGCCCCGGAATCGGGGGTCTCCTACGTAAAATTGTCCCAAAAATCCGAATATGTTGTTTTAATCCATAAATTAATAAATTCCATATTTAAATAATTTCTTTTGTTTCAATTTAGCAATACTAATTTTTAAAAAATAATTAATAAAGATAGCCAAGCACTTCTTTAAAAAAGTCTAAGTATTTTTAACCAAACTTATGTATAATATTCTAGGAAGTTGATTGATGTCCAAAATTATGTCACAGAGTGGAATTTGGTGTTTTCTTGCGTAAAATTGCCCGAATATGTTGTTTTAACCCATAGGCTAGTAAACTATTAAAAAAAATAGACAATTCCAGGCATCTGGACCCACCCTCGACGTGGGCCACCCCACCCAGAGCCCCATAAAGGTCAATCAATAGCTATTAGAAGGCCAGTGTATTAATAGGTTACCTCGATGACCTTACTTTATTAAAAATAAATTGATCGATAAATTTGCGCGTACAAATTATTTATGACTCGATTTCTACCACACGTCTTGAATATTTTAAGCCAGTTGTTATCAACACACATGACTCAGACCTTGGAAAATATGGTAACAAGAAGCGCGTCTAGTCATATCTGTGTCAGCCGAGATTTGCAATATAAATCATCGAAAAAAAATTAAATTCTCTAATTACTAGAGTGCAAAAATGTTCCGTTTTAATGGAATCTCTTGAATGTTAATAAGAAAAAACGCACAATTTGCGATAAAATCTGTTTTGTTGAGTCGATAAGATAAAAGCTTACTTTTTGAACGTGCTTTCGTACTGCTTGATTTCCTTCCTGGAAAACTCGTGAAACTCGGTGTAAACATTGACCACTCTGTAGTTAACTTTGACTTCGTGCCCATTATCCAGAGCATCGTTGATTTCTTGTCGTCTGATTAAAACCGAGTTTAATTCCGAATCGGCCGGCATTTTGCACAAAATTTGCACAAACACTGAGAATTTCGAATTTGATTGACGGAAAATCTGACAATTTAAATCACGTCGACAACACTTTTAAACAACACAGAGGAGGAATCAAGAGTGGAGATTTAAATATTCACGTGGGACGCTTGCGCACTTTTCCCTCCACCACAAGAAACTCGCATTCACGTGAGTTCAAAATTGGGAAATCTATTGAATTCAAACAGTATTTTTCTATTCCTCTGTTGATTTATTGATAAGATAAGAGAATTCCAAATAATTTTCCCCGCGAAAACCCCACTTTCTCTCTCGATTTCTTGGTAAACTTGTCAGGTTTTTGTCCACTTTCGTTCATTGCGAATGCAATCAGTTTCGCTTTCTGTTCAATTTAATTTCCTTTAAGTACTTGAAAATTCCCAATTTAGTTATCACTGTTATCACTGCATGCGTGTGTGATGATTCATTTCGCAGCAGCGGAAGGAAATGGGGTGACAGCGTTTGAAGCAATGAAAATTAGTTTAGATCATGAAACACGGTGGAAGTACACTCATTTGTGGCTTAATTTGTGTCAAAATTAATTTCCTCACCCTCATTAAAATTAACCCTTTTTGTGCGGGGATATGAGTCAGCAAACTGCAATTAATTTAATTTCATGTTTTATAATTATTTAGCAATGATCTAAACTGATGTAATTAATTGATAATAATTAATTACTAATAGAATCAATGCTACTAGTGATAGTTATTTAACTTGAAATACTTGAAATAATATTACTGGCTGCATAACCACTGAAACAATATTATTTTTTTCATTTTATGACAAAAAAATTAACAAAAAAAATTGTCCACAATAGTTAACAATAAAAGATAATTATGTTGCCATTATATTGACATTTTTTTTTACAACCATTTCTGAATATAATAATTTTTTTTATTCAATATTAGTGTTAGGGTCGTAGGAAAAATTGTTTATTTGCTAGCTTGAAAAATTGGGTACGAATTTAGTAAAATATTAAAGGTACTGAAAAAAATAAATGAAATTTTGAGAAAATTAATTCAAAGAAATCAATATTTTGAAAAAATCAAAGTTTTT